ACAATTACATTTAGACTAAGTAGATATGAGTCGTTTATTTTGGAGTTTAACTTATGATTGTACTTCAAAAAACCATATATTGCAGCAAGTTGATACTTTTACCACAGGAAGAATAGGAAGATGGAATATATCCATTAGTGGAAGCAAATAAAAATCAGAGTGATATGAAATGGGAGTACTGGGAAATACGATTAGATGTATCTGTTGAGGGTTCTAAAGATTACTGCCTGGTCTACAGAGAGCTGGCTGAGTACATTGCACTACTTCTTTCTTCCAGCTGTTATTTTGAATGAAAAGGAGCTAAAATTAAATGTTTCTTAGATAAATGGTCCTGTAGTTAATCTGATAATGCTGATTTCTTCATGATTATAAGTAGGAATTAAGGTCTTAAGATAGCCAATTAATATGAAATCTACTTTATTAAAATGTCTGAACCTAGAATCAAAAACTTTCCACGGAATTATTTTGATTTTACTGTGTTTAGTACAAGGAATATGTTAACTTAGGCTTCCTGTGTGCTACTGTTATGGCAAAGATTACTTTTTTTTTTAATGTAGCAAAATGAACTTTTTTCAAGAGAGAGTTCTAGATGTTTCTTCTTTTCCCCCCCCTCACTTATTCTATATAATACTCGTTAGCAAAACAAGAAGCTGCATACCTACTCTTTAAAATGTAAAAATGATCATTTACTAAATATAGAAACATATACCTTAACCTAAAAGGGGACCCGCTTTCTTTAATGTATTAATATAAGGAGTAAACCTGCTGTTAAAAAATTGCTTTTAGTGGGAATTTATGCCGTTGAAGGTATTGTGTATAGTTTTGTATAGCTATTGAATAGTCTTTTATTTAAAAACCAAGGTCTTGATGAAACTGACCTTGCAAATAAAGCTGATAAATTTTTAAAAAGAGTCTTTCCACTTGTGAACTACATATAAAGAATAGACGCATATCAGAAAGAGAGATCTTTGTTGGGTTGTTCTTTCATTCCTTTAGTGTTTAGTTACCATGGTGCTTGAGCAGGATAGTGTAGCTACAAGGGAAATGCTGCTGGTGGTGTAAAGGTTTTTCATGAGTTTCCAATACAAACAATTTACATTTCCTTTTGTGATAGCTCTCTCAGATTTTTCCCTACATACCTAGGAGAGATGCATCCATTTTGGAAGACCAGAAATATTTAAGATGCGTTACAGGCTTTTGTGTTTTGTCCATAGCTATCCAGAAACTACATAGCTTTCTTTCAAGGCCACCACTTCGCTAACATATCAGACTGGCAGCTTGTTGGTTCAAGCCAGTAATTTAAATCCTTGCTAGTCAAAACTGTCAACTTAATAACAGTTTACTGCATAACCAAGTTTGGAGGACTTATTCTAGGTCATTAGTATGGGAAGTTTCACATACTGAATTGATGTTTATCACTGTAGATTATTTGAAAAGCCAGGCTTGTTTGAAGGAAAAGTAGTAGTTTGCCTAACTGTTGCATTTAAGGTAATGAATTCGTTTGGTAATAGATCAATGTCCTTGGTTTCTAGCTGGTCCGCAGAGATTAGAGGGGCTAGGGGCAGCTGGATTTATCTCTTACTAGGTATGCCAATCATGGCCGTAACTGTAGGCCTGACACCAGATGCACGAACAGCCTGTATGCTGTAGGTCTGGTTGCATTCAAGAGAAGCAGTCAGGTTCACGAATAGCACGATTTTTTCTTATGCAACCTCTACAGACTCTTTGAGATTGCCTACGATAAATGCCCAGACTGCAGGTTGGCTATATAGCGCTACACACAAAACCCGATTTTAATCACACGCACTTAATTCCTTGGTAATCACTTAGTGTAGCTGAGGGCCCAAATCTTACCAAGAGGCGTGCCTTTGGGGCAGGGGGGTGAGGAGCACAAACCCATCGATTTGTCCCTCCAGTTTGTCATCAGATTATCGTCCCTCCAAGTTAGATACAAATTCGGGGTAGTATTTATCTAAGTATGCGTGAGTGGGTGGGACCGTGGTCAAGCCATTGTTTCTTGAGTAATGACACAGCACATTCCTTGGTGCAAGGTGTGCACTGGTTTTGTGGGAAAAGAGGAAGAATGAGAGATAAGGTCTGCGGAGTACTGCAAAACAGTCCTTGAGAGAAGAGCAGGAGATAAATCTGCATAGTCATGTCAAATGTTCCTTGAGAAAAGTGGAAGAACGGGACTGGGCGGCTTCCACCTCACTTTGGATTCCTTCTTGGTGCCATGGCAACACAAATCACTGGATCTCCATCCTGTCCTGTGTTTGTCTGGGCACCATGTGTTAAGGAAATGTGTGTTTTGAAGTTTTTTCACTGCTTTTCCCACTCTTACAGCATTAACCAGCTCCACTTTATGCACACAGTCTTGATCGCTGGAATGGGTAGTAGCAGTCACTTCAGAAATGGACCAGTATTAAATAAATAAGTTTTGATTTTCGAGGAAGTAGAGGGTCATCTAGCCTTGATCTGGTTTGGGGTTTTTTTTTCTGTTTTGGTTTGGTTTTTAGAGTCAAACAGGGCAGAGGAAGCAGATTGGCGTGGTAGACATCTCAGTATGCCCTAGTGGGAACTACCTGCTTTGCAATGCCTTCGATCACCACAGAGGTCGATAACGAAGTAGCACAGGAAGTGGTACTAGTGAATGAGTAACAGCGTATGTACAGTGGTTTGGCTGGTGTGACCCAGTACACAGGAGACACACATACATTACAGTCATCTAAGTGCTTAGTAGCACTACATAGAAAATAATCAGTACTTCAAATTTTCATGCAGTTTTTCCCCAGACCCACCAAAATGCCTCAGCAGCAGTAGCGAAAAAGCTTCTCAGTGGTGTAAATAGTATGTATGTGGGAATTACTTCTTTCACCTCAAAACAGTGTTATCACTTAGGATGATGAGTAAGATACACTCCTGCTTGAAGCAAAAGTATATGTTTTTTGAAGCAAAACCACTCATGTCTGAAGCAAAAATTGAAGAGTAAGTGGTCAAAGGCACTAGTTGCAGTGTAATCATTAGCTAAACTTCACCTGTCTTTGGAGAACGTGCTACCAGGCACCTGCAACTGACTGTGACTCAGGAGTTGGATTTGGTCTCATTCTACAATTACTATCAGTCACAGCCCCTGCACCATCAGAAAGTGTAGCAAGGCACCAGTTCACTACTTTGATGCAGTGGTGTTCTGAGTCTATGTAGTCCTTATGGAGCCTTGATGGTTTCTGGTGACCAGCTGCTGAAGAGCTGTCTGGCACCGTCCTCCTGAATTTGTAAAGCTGAACAGGATCATGCCATAAGGCTTTAGTAGGAGGAAATTTTGCCTGTGTATTTAGAAATACTATGATACTTTAAACATTGAACAATTTGACTAGCACTGCACTGTTACAAGCTTCCTTTGATAGTTAAAAAAAGTATCTGTAATGTCTGGAAGTATTAAATTGTTGAACACAGGAGCATCTACTGAACAGTGAACTTGCAACTATGATACTAAAATAAATTAATATTTGTAGTTACCAATTTTGCTTTCCATTACAGTCAAAACTGATTGTGTTCATTTTGCTGCAGTATTTTGAAGGGAAATTGTTCTTTCTTTTTCTCATTTAAAATTTTCTTTATGTATCTTTTATATTTTTTAAATAAAATTTGCCCAAACAGATGATACGTTCCAGTTAGCCATATATAGCTACACCAAAGATCCGAAAGTTCCCTCATTAAATGTCTTAAATACTTAACTTCTTGTCTGTATAAGTAATTTTTAAGTTTCTGTTACATGAAGAGTTTTTTATATTTTTTGAAATACTAGATGAGTAAAGCAAAGAGATTCCTCTTCCAGCTTAAGACATTGGATGATGGGAAATGTACAGCTGCTTAATCTGTTTTCAGAAATCAGGCAGAGAATATAAAAAGTAAATACTGTCAGAAACATTGAAGAAAACATTATTTAAGTCTTTTATGTTCTGTTCAATGCAGATGAAGTAATGTAGATTCTTTTACATTACGTGCCCCTTTTAATGGTCTTGCTGGAAATTGACTTCTTGGCAGCTGTAACAGTGCATGATAAGATGGATAAAGTTCTGTTCCTGTTCCAAAATATTGTAAGTGTGAGCATGTCAGAGTTGTGCTAAGACAAATTCAGTCTTTTTTTTTTCTTCTCAGTTTTATCTGTTTGTTGTTAGTTAAACCAACTATTAAATTAATGAGAGCACATTTGAAAAAATAATAACTTCGAAACACTGCTTATTAGTACTTTGGGGAGTGGAACTTACTTTATTTTCTGGATCTTGACACTGCTGAAGAGATAAAAGGGTGTAGTACTGAGAGTCCATGGTAAGAAACCACATTTTTCTCCCTCCTTTAGTTCTTCATTAAGCCCTTGCTGGGTCTTCAGATCATGTGGCATTCTGTGAGAACCTTAATCCTATGGGTTACCTGGGTGCTGGAAGTACATGTATACCTGTAGTCATGGAATCAACTGATGTCTCTTTGGGTCTGTTTTGGCAAAGCATGTAAGTGTGCTTAACTTCATCCAGGTTAAACAAAGCATTGAAATCTCTGTGTAGATTGATTAATTCACTGTGTTCTGTGGTTACAGGTGTTCTGAAGTGCTTTACTGTAACCGCACTGCAGTCCCTAATGCAAATCTTCTGTGTTTCCAGATCCCAGTATGAGCTGACAGTTGATTACAAGTCAATTATTTGCTGATTTGTCTCTTGCACCCTTGAAGATTCAAAAATCCTGGAATATTTGCAGAACAGTGCAAACTTCCTTATGTGGTGTGCCAAAATGACTGAATGGCTTGTTTTTTCATCTTAATGCTTTGCAGATTTGTAGCTATGATGACTTTAATGATGAATAAGAACTACCCACACAAGGAAAGAGATCTAATGGTGGCTGAAGGCAAGCAACGTGGAGTATATGCTCCATATAAGGCAATGTGTGGGAGACACATTTGTTACATACTGAGTATCTGAGTAAAACCATGTGTCATGTTTTCTTAGGTTCTCAACAGGAGATGTGTAGAAGCAGCAGTGATGACAGGCCTGGCTCTCAACTGCAGCATAAACAAGAAGTCCTTATTTGACAGAAAACACTATTTCTATGCAGATCTGCCTGTAAGTATTCAGTATAGCTGGTCCCTTTACATCTGTAGGAAAGGACAAGTCTGGAGTATGGATGGCAGTAGGGGATGAATGAAGAGATGCTTTTTCTGTTTGCAGTCAGTGTTCTGCTCACCCCAACAGGATATTGCGCTGTGCCCTGATGAATAGAGAGCTGTACCCTGGTGCTCACTGATTGAGTATGATTGCTCTGATTGCTGACTCCTTGCTTAGCTGCACGATTCCAGTAGCTTAATGTAATTGAATTGGGAGCTGGAGCTGCTTTGCCCCTTAAGTTCTCCATTCCTGTTGTTCAGTACTAATTGTCTGTTAGGGTAAAAGCAGCCTGATAATAGTCCTTCATTTAAAGTGAATGTATAACAAACACAGGTTCCAGTGGTATAAACATAATAGTGTCTTTTTGTGTGTGTGCTTAGGGGCCTAAAATTATTTAATTTCCCTTTAAAACTTTCTCAGTCAGTAGTTCCCATAAATAAATTAAAAAAAAAAAAAAACACACAAAAAACCCCAAACAAACAAACAAAAAAAACCAAAAAAAAAACCCCTGAGAAACTGAGTCTTTGCAGTATGGTTTGCTGGTAGCTTGCTTATTTGGTAGAAGGTGTCACTGAAGTCAAATGCATTTTGCCATTCTTGATATGGGTGTAGAGATATGGAAATCTTTAAGAACCTGACTTCTGTCATTGCAACAGGATGCAGCAATGTTTGAGGATGCAGCAGTGTTTGGGCCTTTTTTCCTATTTTAATGAAATTGAACCTTTTTAAACATTTTTTTTTTTTCCTGTCAGCTTACTTGTACTGAATGTTCAATTTAATGCTAATCTGTCAAAAGGAGGATACTAGTTTTAGTTCTTCTGATCTTGGGGTAAAGATATGATGAGTGCATTAAAAGAAAAAAATATGTTTTATCTGAGAAAGATCAGGCATGTTAGCTTATCCTCTCTTTAGGTGAGGTGTCCCGGACATCCAGAGAAGCACAGTGGGAGATTTCCCAGGTCTCAAATTAATGTGTAGAGGTGGTGTATTATTAACCCAACTGCTTTCTCTCCTCCCACTCTTGTGTTCAGACATTGGAAATATTTTGAAGTTACACATAATATATTCAAATACAATTGCTTTCCACCTTAGAAAGACTATTGTGTTATAGTTCTCCACTGGAGACCTGGATCTCAGAAGAGATTTATGTTTTGTTTTCTTCTATTTTGGGGACTTGTGGCTCTTCTGTGAAGTTAATGTAATTACTGATTTTGTTTCTGGGGATAATTTGGCTAATATTTGTGAGCCATTAAGAGGCCCTTTTGTTGGGGGCTCTGTGGTGAGCTCCTGGGAATGTGAAATGCAAACTAACCAGTTTGAATTGCCAGTATTTTTTTTTTAACTTGTAAAACTATCTTGAAGCCTATTTCCAGACCTGAAGGAGAAAAAAGTGAAATATAAACATGACATACACAATTCCTTTTATGCATCATAAAGAAACACCAAAAACATCCCAGACTTGTTTGCAAACCACGTTTGGTGCTTCTGTTGTTAAACTGAAAACAATCTCTCATATTCTTCTGACATCTGCTGCTATCAGTCTACTGCATAGAAGCTGTATAGAAGAATGTCGTCATAAGAAAGAAACTGCATCCATGTGTTCAGAGAAGAGTGAGGTGGAAGAAGGTGTGTACAGCACCAAGTGAGCTGCTGTTGTCTGCAGACATGAGTTACAGGATCCTCTGGTCAGACAAGAGTGGAAATTTGGTCAAGGAGATGGTGACATGTTTTATTAGCTTGAAACATGTAATTCTGAGTCTTTACTGGCTGACTTCTGCAGTTTAAGCACTGACAATAAGCTGCCCAACCCATATTTCATAGTGAAACAGTCTAGTCTGGAACCCTGTAATAAGATGGAGAGTTTAGGCTAATGAGCTGTATAGAACGGATAAAATAAATCCAGCTCTTAGGGTCGTTTGACAATAGGATTATTGTTACTCCTGAAAATGGGGCTTTAGATGGGAAATGGGATTCTTGTTATTTATTGTCACTCACTATTTCAGGCTTTAAAAAAATCATTTTAATAAGAAGTTTTAGGAGATGGGAAGAGCTGTGTAATTAGCATAGGCTGCATAGAGTCACTTATTTTCTTACAGTGATTATGGCTAGACGGTCATGCACTTTATTGCATCTATAAATTGAGCTGTTCACAGGGCCAGACCATTGTTCTCCATTCCATTGCACTGTCACCATCTCAACATTTTAGAGCGAACTTGTCCTCCCTGCAAAATATGCAAATGCTCCGCCCATTTCACTAAAATCTGGCAGGCTTTATTTTTAATTCTTGTCACGGGGGGCATAAGCAGCCTAGGAAGGAAGAAGAAATAGGGACCCTACCTCAACAGAATAATTGATTCTCTTCTGCATTTTTACATCATTGCAATACCTTGTGACTGGCAGCCTCTTTTCTGGCTAGCAGTTTTCCCTTTGAGTGGAGTACCAGGCACGAGGTGGCATTTATCAGCTGTGTGCCTTACGTGGGGTTGCAGTGTCTATCTTTTAAATTGTTACATTAATGAAATTGAGCTTTCTCATTTTCTTGATTTCCACCCCCTGCCCTTGCCTTTCCTCTCCCTCTCCTTCCCGCTAATGAATAATGTTCTGAAGAGACAGAGAGGGATATTGAGCCTGATAGGAGGATGAGTGATAGTCCCAGCTTGGGGATGAAGGTACCGTAACTGGCTTCAGACAAGATTTAACATGATCACAGAACCACAGGTGTGGAAGAACCTCTTCTAGTCATTTCCTGCCCCAAGGCAGTATCAGTGAAATTTACATCATCCTTGGCAAGTGGTTATGCAGTTGATTATTGATTATGTCTGTATTAGCATAGTGTCTTATACTTGCCTTTATTGAGGAGTACTCTTATTTTTTTTCCAGACCTCCAGCTTCTTAACTATGTTGAATTCTAGATCTGTCTTCTAGCTTGCTTCTTATCCAGCTAAGCAAAATAACTTCTGAATTTACATGTGCATGTGTTTTATCCTCTTATACAGGTCACTATAGAAGATGTTGCATTCTGAGTTTTGTTCTTAGCCTATAATATTTGCATTTGGCCGTGCTGCTCCTTTCTGAAAAGCAAATGTTTTATTTGAGTATAAAGCTAATTTTGTTGACAGGCTGGCTATCAAATCACTCAGCAAAGAGTTCCTATTGCGGTGAATGGAAGTCTGTCATACAGTCTCTGCATAGACAACAAAATGAGCCAGATGGTGACCAAAACTGTGAGGATTAAACAAATTCAGTTGGAGCAAGACAGTGGAAAGAGTCTCCATGATGACGTAAGGAGCCAGACTCTCGTTGACTTGAATAGAGCTGGTAAGCTTAGATTATTTTCCTATTTTTCTCCTCGTTTCTGTTTAAGATGGGTCTATAGAGGTAAATCAGTGATAGGGAAAAGATGAAAAATAAAAACAGCCTGATGTCTCTCATCTTGAAAATAAAAATTCATCAAAATTACTGTTACACTTGAAGCAGGGGAATACTTGAATTTGTTAATGGCCAGTGGATTTTTTTCCATTGCTGTTGGTTGATGGCAATTGGCAATAGCCAGTTAGAAATATGTTGGCTCCAGTTTGCTCAAAACTGTATATGTCAGTCATATACAGCCATTCAGCTATTTAAGCTCTTGCCACTGCATGCATTGTTCTTTAAAAAAAAAAAAAATTAAAAATCACAGATGTAGTGAATCAAGTTTGTATAGAAGGAGCAGCTGTTGAAATTTGTCTAGTGCATGAGTCAGACATTTCTTTTAATTATTAGCATTGAAAAAATGTAGATTTTCTCTTTAAACTTCAAAATTGTAAACAGAATGAACCAAATTAGCACACAACATGTGCAGCAACCTGAATGGCCTAGCCGAGATGGGGGACAGTGCTCTGGTGTGTATTGAAGTTAAGGGCTGTGACTGCTCATATTCTTTGAAAGCTGAAACCTGAAAGTACAAATGAGAATGCATCTGTTAAAGATAAATTAATTTTAATCTGGAATTGAATTGGCTTTAAATGGGAGCTCTCCTACAGAAAGGCAGAGGAGGAATATGTCCTTCTGATCTGCATGTCATCAAAGGGTGGAGGACTCTCTGCTGTTTGTCATTTTCTTTAAAAAAATAGAAGGAAAAGTTTTTATAGCAATCTGCAGCTAGGCCCATAGTGACAGTTACTAAATAATACATGGGAGTTTATTTTTTTCAAAAAAAGCCCAAATGCTTTCATGTGTTTAGCCAGTTGCACTCTAATATGCCAAGATCAAAAGCTATTGTTGAAAATCTCCTGTCTCTTTCCCTGACAGGAGTCGGCCTTATGGAGGTTGTCATGGAGCCTGATATGTGCTGTGGGGAAGAAGCAGCTGCAGCAGTCAGAGAGCTTCAGCTCATTCTTCAAACACTTGGGAGCAGCCAAGCAGTCATGGCAGGTACAGAAGGGGGACAGGCATGTTCCCTTGTCACCAGTAATTCTCTGCATTTGCAGGAGTTTTGCAGCTTCTGGTTATTTTGCTCTGTGGTTGCTTACAATGCACAGCCATTTCTAGATGTTTTTACAATCCTCCAAGCCTGTCCTAATGTCTGCCATGCTTGAGGGACCCTTGTGGGCCTGCCTTCATCTGCAGAGCTTTGCAGTGCTAGATTTTATATCACTTCACACAGTAATTTTACAGGATAAACCTAGGCAAGGAGGAATGTCCCCAGGGTTCTTGTTGTGTTTCTCCCTGTCTGTCCTCATCTGACTTGCCACAGCACTGCAGCACAGAAGATGTAGTAAGGATTAGTTGTAGAATATGGAAGTTATGGGACAAAGTAGTGGGAGCATGGATCATCTTGTGTGTCAGGTCTCAGTCATAAAATGGGTGTTGGTAGTAAACGTGCTGGTGTCATGGGTGAGATGGAGTAAACAGCAGCACATAGCAGACATGGGTGCTGGGGTTAATTTAAGAACCAGCGAGAGTGCAACTTTTACCCTACTTGATTATTTCACACACTCATTGTCTCTCCCTCCCCTCCAGCATTATGTTCACTAGTTCTCAATTTCTCTTCCCACTAGGGAGATCACTGCTGGTCTGGGGAGATGGGCCAGAAAATCATGTTGCTGTGCAGTAGGCTTGCAGGTACCAGTCTCAGGTGTTAGAGGTCAAGGTCCCAAGGCATCCCTGAAAGGAGGTTGCAGACAACTGGGGATGAGCCTCTTTAACCAAGTATTAAGCAATAGGACAAGACGTAATGCCCTCAAGTTGCGCCACGGAAGGTTTAGACTAGATATCAGGAAGTATTTCCTTACAGAACAGGTTGTTAGGCATTGGAATGGGCTGCCCAGGGAGGTGGTGAAGTCCTCATCCCTGGAGGTGTTTAAGAGTCAGGTCGACATAGTGCTTAGGGATATGGTGTAGTTGGGAACTGTCAGTGTTAGGTTAACGGTTGGGCTGGACGATCTTCAAGGTCCTTTCCAACCTAGTTGATTCTGTGATTTGTCTCCATGCATCTCTCTGATCTTTGGGATTCTCTCCCACCTCTAGGATGTCTCTAGCCAAGATAACTGCTGTCTTTCTGAGACCACTTCCTTTTTTGGGAAACCCTGCTTTTGGCAACAGCTCTTCTTTCTGGAATCCTAAGGCCCTAGTTTTTGCAATAGGTGATGTGCAGAAGCATAGCATGTGATCACCCTGCTAAGTGGTGACTGTCTCATGTCTCTGTTAATTGGAGGATTCAGGTCATGCCATTTTTGCTCAGTCCTAATGTTACCAAAATTTACAACCAGCCCATGGTTACAGCTAGCAAATAGCAGGCGGCTGCTTAAGAGTTTAAAAGTACAATTTTGGCCATTCATCCCTTCCACACATGCGCCCAATTATCAGCTGCCTATTAGTGTTCACAGTGTAAGCTCTGGTTTTGCCTGTGTCAGTTGCTCGCACTGTTCTGGCAACAAATTTGGTCCATAGTGTGAGATGCATCCTAGAGAACTGAGTCAGAGTGGTCCATGTATCACCCAGTAAATAGGATCCAATAGATGCTGGCTAGTGATGCAAATCTAATTTAATGTAGGGAGAAATAATAATTGTTAGATGTTATGTACGCCTCTGAATCTTTTCTCACGCTAGTGTTTCATGTGTCAAATGGGGCACAGTTGATACTATCAAGCAGCCAGTTTGCATGCTTCTTCAAAGGCCTTCATGGACATACTCATATACTATTGTGTGTTGCTGCTGAATTTCCCTCTAGGATTGGTATTGCACAAAGATATCTATTATAGTAGTGAGATTTATGACTTTAGAGGAGAATTCCAGTTTTGGAGTATTCTTTCTCCAGTATAGTTGGCTTTAAAACTATTTGGATTTTTTTTTCTAGGTGATGTTTTTAGGGACTTTCTAGTGTGGTTTTCCCTCATCAAAATTACTTTCTTTCAAATGGAGGTTTTACATTCTCATATTTTACCTTCATTCTACCTGGTGTTCAGTGAAGACAAGTGCCTAGTTTTATCAGGTGTTATTTCATTAACAACAAGCACATGAAAAGATGATTTCATTGCAAAGTGAAAGGAAAAGAAATGGGTCTTAAAGTGGGCTTAAAGAAAAAAAAAACTTTTTAAAAAATGTTTGGGGCCTGGCTCTCGCTTCACTTATGCCTGATTAACTTCATTGTCTTGTCACATTGACACCTACATCCAAGTAAAAGCAAGTCATGTCTCAAAATGAAGCAAGGGTGGGACAAGACTATTGCTCTTTTGGAACAAGTACTCATTTCACCCCATAGAGGGAGCACATGCAAAACACTTCTTTTGAAAGAGATTTTGGGTCATTCCAGCACCTTTGTCCTTCATTTGCATGTCTGGCAAGACTCTCTGAAGACAGAGGAAATCAGTGTGCTATCATCCAGCCTACTTTTACAAAGTGTACCAAAGGCCTCTCTAGTCAATTGAATGTCTATTTACCAGAACGGATTCTGAAGCTGTAGGTATCTTCACTGGTTTAACTCTGAGCTGTTTTGTACTCTCCGTAATAATGCTACTGTATCTAAACAGGAGGTGTTTGTTTCTTTTTATCTGTATTTGAAATTATTAAAAAAAAAAAAAAAAAAAAAAAAATGATGTTTCTTTTTAGTACAACCTCTCCTGTTTGTTTACTCCCACCAGCTGAATAACTGTGGCAAGCCTTTTCTTCTCAGAAGGGATGTCTTTAGAGGGACAAAACTTAGAAAGACACAATTACGAGTTACTTGTGGTTGAGTTATTAGAGATCTCCAAGGACATTGTTCCATTTGGACTAAAAGTGCAGGATACTTTTCTATGTAACTTTGTATTCAGTTTCAGTTTTTGGCAGCCAGGGGAATTTGAGGGGGAGGGGGGAGATTGCAGTTTCTTGAAGGCAAGGAAGAAAATTACAAAAACAATCCACCACTACTCACATTTTGTCCCTGAGCTGTAAATTTCCAAGAACACCTTAGTAAATCTGTTCAACATAACTGTAAGTTCTTGTATTCTATGCTAGGGTAGTATATATCCGTCAAATTGTAATTCCAAAAGGTATTTTTATGCTGTTTTTAGAGGAATGGAAGCTCACAATCCACCACTGTAAATTGCTTGTCTAATTCAGCCCTTTATTTAAGAGCTGTGAATCAGAAGCTTTTTTCACTGTATGGCTTAGAGGATCTGTGCTGCACTGCACCATGCAGTTTTCTCTGAGAGGAATTATGAGCAGTAATGTTTTTAAAAAGGTAGTATTCTCAGAAAATTTTGAATGATTGTAGGCAGAGTCTTGAGATGGAATCACAAACAGAACGCTATGATGAGGTAGTTACTACTCCTTTCTGAACATATGGAAGTTTGCTATTAATGCTCTGCACATAACATGCAGTTTGTTAATGCATGACAAGGTTTTTACTGTAGTTTACAGGGAAGACTATTCTGTTGATGAAGTTTCCTTTTACAGAGGGTCAGCTGAGAGTGGATGCCAATGTTTCTGTGCATCACCCTGGAGAGCCTTATGGAGTGAGGACTGAGGTGAAGAATATCAATAGCATACGATTCCTGGCAAAAGCAGTAGGTAAATAATGGTTGCTTCATTACAGGAGCATTGTAGATATTTTAAGCAGTCTGACATGAAATATGTCAGGCTCCAGAGTGTAGTAATTGGCCTTAACTGCCCTGACTAGCTTCATCTGACTGTCTCATCCATGCACCTTGCCCGTGGGTCCAGAAGTCTCATTTAAGCTCAGGCTGGGGCTTTCATGCTTTGCCCGAGCTACACCACAGGTGTGCCAGTTTTCAGTCCTGTCTCCTGATGGACCTCAGACCAGTTCTATAGTCATGTTCCCAGTCATGTCTCTGGACTTAACCTCCTGCTGCTTCTGACTGAACTCCCTGGATGGACCCTGAACCCAGCTCATCCCCTCACCTTGACTGAGACTCTCAGTGGACCCTGTTAATAGCACGTGTCTATGCCCTTGCTGTTCAGACCAGTGGGGCTGCCCTGGGCAGTGAGGTCACTGCCTGTGCTGTGGTCACCCTTGGCTCCTGGCTTGTTCCTCCTTGTGGAGCAGCCTCACTCTTGCTGCTCCCTGACAGAATAAATCTTAGTATGGGGTACTGTGGGGATAGCAGCCATGTTAGTCTGCATTTTTCTTGCAGAGGTAACCCTCTGCCTGCAAAAAGAATAAAGCAGATGATTCAATGCCTAGCATGTTTAGTATGGAAATATGTTTACAGTAGCTGTGTCCTCCAGTGTAGGTGATTGCTTTCCACTGAGTACGGTCATTGATGTGTATGAAGTTCAGATGCAGCTTGGGTATGGTTATTACATCTCCAAAAGAAAACTCAACTGGGTGATAGAAAGGCCACTAGGAATGTATGGCTTGGCTGCAGTGCCTGGGAGAAAAATGTTTTCTCTTTAAAGGGAATGAAAGAAGATGAGGAAAACACGCAGAGAAAGAAACCATGCTGAAGAGAGAAACAGTGACTGATAATTCTGCCTGTAACTAGTGCCGTTTATTTCATTAAGGTTAAAACAACAAGCTATTCCATTAGTGCACAGCAGTGAAAAATGAAATGGTGGGGTGTACAAAAGCTCATAGTGCAGTGTAACATGCTTATTCTTTTTTCTTTTGTGTCTGTCAGACTATGAAATAGAGAGGCAAATTGAAGAACTTGAAAGTGGAGGAACAATTCTGAATGAAACAAGAGCCTTTGATTCCAAGCTTGGGTGAGTTTTTGTTTTGGCATTGGGAATAGTAGCTTCAGAGTACCAGGGATACCTAGAGAAATGATCAGGAGAGGTAATGTAGTATTGCTCAACTTGTGTCTTCTAAAGCTAATGTCCACAGGCATATCTGCTCACAGGTAGTAATTTATTCTCAAAGTCAAGGCTTTTTCACAACAGATTGTGTGCTACACCAGGCACCGTCTGTGTGAAAATGACTGCCCTCTTACATACATGCATTCTTGGAAGCAGCCTTAAGAAGTTCTCCTGATCTTCGTGAGGCAAAGTTTTTGGTTTGTGTTTCTACCATAAAACTAATTCTGTGATGTACCACTTAGCACATCTTCCTTGTTTTGTTTTTATTTTAGGTGCACTGTACCAATGAGAGACAAAGAAGGAAAACAGGATTATCGGTATTTATTTTTTAAAATAAATTTAACATTTCAGGACTGAGAATTTATTTCACTTTAAAGTGTAGTCGGTGTAATGAGCCTATAGTCAGCATATAAGTATGTATTGGAAGTTTACCTTCCACTAAAAGGGAAAGAGACCTATCAAAATCAGTGCTAGTCTGAGCCGTTTAGATCTAGAACTGTTTTATCTCTGCTTAAACCCATAGGCCTTTCCCAAAACCTAAGCTGGAGTACCTTAGCTCAAAGTGGGTAAGTTGAAGGTTTGCTCTGTGGCCAGTATATATATATTCCTAAGAATGCTAGACATAAAATGTAAGACTATTCTGAGTTAAGCATTGCTCCCACTTTAAGAAAATACTGGGGGTAACTATTTTTAGATACCAGGCCCTGCCTCTCCATGCTTAAATTCTGTGATCATAGATCACAATCACTGTCTGAGAATCCTAACTACTATTGAAAAGTGTCAGCATTCATAACCAGGTTTCTACCTTAAGATTTTTGTAGACCTACTGAAGATGTTACCTTGCTAAGTACTTCTTGCCTTCCACCAGTGTGAGATGACAGCCATCAAACCCTAAACAGCCACCCTAGAAGGGTTTAGCCAGAGGGCGAGTGGACAAGACACAGGTCCTGTTGGGAAGCAATGCTGCTGGGAACAAGTGCTGGGGCAGCGCTGCAGAGCAGCAGCACAACTGCTTAGTGCTCTAGTGGGGGAGGTAATCGCTGTGGTGTCTGGATGGGATGGGAAAGAGAAATGCAGCTCAGTGATTTGCCGGTTGCTTTGGGCACCCTTTCTCCTGCTCTGTGTGTCTGCCTTCTCCCCTGGTTAGGGCCATCTTAGCTCTGATCCTCCCAGTAGTTCCCTAGCTTTGCATCCCAGAGGCAGTCTTCCTGTTACTCCCAGAGTTCACTTCCCAGCTGGGGTAGTTCTGCAGGAGAACTTTCAGAGCCTCTTCGCTTTGCCATATCTGTGTTCCTGTTAGATTTACATATACTCTACCATTGATCTTACTAGAGCAGAGCAACAATTTTGAAAACATCTCATAAGCTAAATCTGATTTTTAAATTATTGTTTGTAGAAATGCAGCAGAAAAGGCAGTGATCATTTTGGGAATTCCTTATGATGGTAGGTGGTGGCATGAGGGTTATTTAACAAGACTAATTTGAACAAATGCTAAAGAAAACTAATGAAGAGCTAGGCAAAACTTTCTAATACAGCCCAGAAAGACAATTACTAAGATTATGTTCAGTATTAATCTGTGTTTTTCAGATTTTTTTGTAACTTACTGCTGCACATTATACATTAAATTTAAATCTATGTTTAGGCAGATTCAAAATAGAAATTATTATATTAAATGTAGAGGGTTCCCAATGTCCTTTATTCTGATGGTTTTGAACCCCTTATTTGATCATGTAAGAGTGAGGTTTCTGCTTCAGTTGCAGTTATTGGAGTGGTTTGAATTGGCCTTCTCTTTAAGGGAGCCTTTTGTTCTGTGGTGGCACCCTGCTGAGCACAGTAACTTTGCTTTTAGCACAGCATGAGATTTCATCAAGATTTTTGAAGTTAGTCTGGAAAAGGTTACAACCTGCCCAGATCGCTCCTGGCAGTTGGCTGTCAATCTGGGTTTTTCCCTGCCATCCACTCCTGCTTTTGGCCAGATCCACAATTCATGCCTGATGCCAAAAGGAGTGGGTTGTCTTCATATCTATTATTATTGGTTCTGTTATTTTTTTATTATTATTTTGGGTTCAGAGGTGCTAATTACCCCCTTTCTATCATCAACTCTTTGACAGTCAGTGTCAAACTCAAGGAAAGAAAATAGAGGCTTTGCAGCAGTTCAGGGGCTGATCTCTTCCTACTTAACAGTGATACACCAAGTCATGATTTTTTTAATGTTTTGTTTAGTTGAAATAGTAATACAGCTTTCAGGTAAGTATAAACTTGTGACATAAATTTTATTCCTTGTTGTTTAGCTTCTGACTGAAAATAATTATAAAGAAGTTCTTCATTTTTACTAGGTTTATGCCAGAGCCAAACCTTCCTCCATTGATTCTATACAATGCCAGATCTTTGCCAGCTAATATGAACCATCAGCAAGTGGTAAATATTGACTGGATTCATGAGAGACTTCCTGACCTCCCCAGTGTGAAGAGAGCAAAGCTTGTTGAACAGTATGGGATTCTTCCTGAACACAGCTTCACCTTATTGGTAGGTCTATTGATCAAGTGCTAAAATAAGCCTAGAAACTTAAAAGTTGCACAGTTCTTGAAAAGATTTACAAATGTCACGTTAACCAGCTGTCAGTTCTCATGGATGTTCTTTAGTTGGAAATATGTCCAATGCATAGTTTATACCTTGGAGCCACATACACAGAATGGCAGGGAAAAGAAACCATACGTAATGTGCCTAGAAGTGTTTCTCATGCAAGGTGCAGTCAAATAACTATTATTTAATATTGATCTTGTCTACACAGACAATTATTTAATATTGTCTGTCTACACATGGATGCACCTGTGACTGACTGGAGCAAACGTACAACTTCCTGCTGACAAATCCTTGTCTGCAAGTGCCGGCTCTTCTTGTCTTTGGGTCTGGTACAAGGCTGGGCGCATTGTCAGTATTTAACAAATTAATAAATGTGTTTTCCTGTCTGTGAAGCAAAACCCAAAGCTTAAATCTTTCAGTTTCACATGCCCGTTGATCTGGCTTCTGCATTATTTTGAAAAACACTCAGACATTCTTAAGTAAATACACAAAATGGCTATACAACATCAACCTTGACCTCACAATGCAGTATACCAGGGGTGGGTTCAGAAGAGGGGATGACAAAGAAAAGAGGGTGGCAAATGTGGATATAAATCTCATAACTTACAAAAATATTCTGAAGGTCTTTGAGCTTCTTAAATACAAACTGCATCATCTCTGTTTGCCAGTTATAACTTCCATGGGGAGGTTAGTACACCCAGCCGAGATCAGACATTTCACGTAGCCAGGTAAGCTAGGACAGTGTCTTGCTTTAGTTACCTCTGTGATTTGTGGAGACAGAAGGAAAAGGACTTATTTAGAGTAAAATTCAGAGCAGAACCACAAGTACTTTAAATTGTCCTCTGGAGGAGTTCCTTTCCTTTGACTATAAATGGAGGGAAAGCCATGCACATAACTTTACCTAATATCCCTCCTTTGTGTGTCTGTAATTTAATACACTTGTACAGAAGCTAGTTCTACAGAAAAAAAATGGTTCTTCCTTCTGAAGAAAGCTGTTAGGAAAACTGCTTTTATGGTGGTGTGCCATTTTAGTGAGTTGTAGATCTTTTACTATTTGGTGGGCAGGTGAATCATAAGTCTTGTCAAAGTCATGAGGCAGCAGTGATAGCCTCAAGAGGTGTCAGTAATTCTTACCTTTCTATTTCATTGTATAAGCTCCAAAAAGTTATTTTGCAGTCAGTATTCCTATCCATGCATGCATTTTTTCACATCAACATACTTTTCACATACGAAAATGAAGAGCACTCAGAAGGGTGGGTAGGTCCTGGGCCCTTTTTTGACTTTTTTTTGTTGTTCTCCCTCTCTGTGGTGGGTTGTCTCTGGCCAGCTGCTAAGCAGCATAGCTGCCTGCTCATTCCTCCACCAGTGCAACAGGGAAGAGAATAGGAAGAGCAAAAGCCAGAAAACTGGTGGCTTGAGATAAAGACACTTAAATAAGGAATAAGGAAGGGGAAAAATTCAAAGGTCACACAAATGCACTCACTCACCACCTGCCACAAGTAGACTGATGCCCAACCAGTCTCTGACCAGTGACAAAGACTACCTCCCCTTGGTTTTCCTTGTTGAGCAGGGGTTATAAGGGCTTTATATGACCCTTGGTCGGTCTGGGTTAGCTGTCCAGGTTGTGTGCCCTCCCTTGGCCTAGTCGCTATGGGGGGCAGAGTGGGAAAAAGAGGAAGTGCTCCTCAGCAGTAGCCAAAACACCGTTGTATTGTCAGCACTGCTTTAGTCACAAATCCAGAACATGGCACCCTCTTAAGAAAATAAGCTTCATCCCAGCCAGACCCAGCACACCCGTTCCTTTCACTTGGCATCAACCCACTTCTAATGTGTTTCAGTTTTGCTAGTATTGATGGCTTCTGCTGTGTGGTTTCTGTTGTCTCTATCAACTAGCCCTATATATTTGCATCATCAACTGCCCTTTCTTTCCAGCTGTTTTCTGAAATCCACTCTTGCCTTCACTTTTTCCCTTTTAACTTTTTTTCCTTTTTACAACTTACAAGACAAGTAATAAGCTGCAAGCTGAAATTTGGGATTCAGCTTGTAATAAGATAATGCATCCATTTGAATGCATGAAGTGAACATGTTCTTCATTGCGGGTCTTCTTTTATTGTGGATTAGAATGTCAGCATGTATACTCTCCATAAAAGTTGCTTGCCTGTTCACTGGGAGACTAGTTAACCTTAATTCATCTGAAAACGGTGTGTCCGTTGCTGTGTTAAGCTTACATCAGAAGTTGCAGAAGATTGCTGATAGGGCCAGATGCACCAATCTAATGAGCATTCTTTCAAGTTAGAGCACCCAGGAGTGCTCATTAAATAAATGGCAGTGGTAGAGGGATGACTCCAAAATGCAAAATCTCTGTTCTCTTCCAACTTGTTAGAGAAAACATTATGTGCCAAAGTTATAATAAAACAATACCATACTTCAGCATGCAAGTTAGTTTCCAAGCTTGCTTCATGAGTTTTATTCTCATATACAATACCTTCCTGTACTGGCTGTATTGAAAATCTGAGATTTCTGCTTTGCCTAATGACAAGATGCACTGAAATGGAAGGAGAGCATTACCTATTAATACCTTCATATCTGCAATTTCTTAAGTGTAAACTGCTACATTTTTAAGATATAAATTGCAAAAATAAATGATGTTTCTGATTTTCTTCATTTACTTTCTTCTGCTTACTCAGGTAAGTGGCCATTCTATTTGAGCTTTGGTTTATTGCTTTGGTGGAAAAATTACATTGGTGAATCTTTCAGTCAAAAGTGGATGCTGTAGAAGTTGATTTTGACCATTTTGTTCATGACATGCTGTCCTCATACACGTTGGTGTGTAGGTGAATTTATGCTTATTTTTAGAACTTAAATAATTTTATAGGAAGCTGTAGGAAAAAGTTTGACCTTTCTTTGACTACTCTGCTTGTCTGCTTTAATAGGCTAAATTTTATGTTTTTTTCCCCTGACAATCTTACACGTTTTTGTAGCAGTTGGTACCTCACAGTTGGTTATTGTGGGAACTGTGATGGTGAAAATGGGAATAAGAAAGCAGGAAATGACATTTATGAACATTGATGTAGTTTTCTTCTTTAGTTCCTTGGGAAACATTATTGGTCTTTAAAAGCATAAGTTTGCATTACAGAACCAGTGTCCCTAAAGATTGTACCCATGGTATTCTGTGAAATAATGTACTGTTTTAAATTTGTTTAAAAAGCATCTGAAATCACTCCAGTGCTAGTTTTCTTTGATATCTAAGAACTATTAAATGATCATTTTTAAACCACATTTAAGAAAGAAATTTTCATCTGGTTGAAATATTGGTATGTTAGATTTCATGCCAGTGAAACTAATGAATAAATTACAGCATATTTGGTGTGTAATGGGAGCACTGAGTGGGCCTGGATCACAAACACAGTGCTGAAATTCCAGATTTCTGGTGTTCCTTCTATGAATATTGAAATACTCAGAATTAAGTGAGAACAGTCAGCATTCCTGTGAACCAGCACGTTAGAGCGTGCAGTGGTTTTCAGCCCAGATCTATCGCAAGTTCTGCGTGTGTTGGCAGTTGGAGGGAATGTGGCATGAAGAAAGCTGACCAAAATGAGGAACAAATTAAAGTCAGGTTCAAGTAATACGGTATCTAGAAATTGTAGTTAATCAAGTTATGCCTACATCTTTCTAATATGGCAAGAAAATGAGGAAAATGTTTCATTTCTGTCAGTCATTTTGATGTTTTGACATCCTGCCTTATTCATTTCAGTCTAGCATTGCTGGGTTTTCCTACTCTTTGGCTACAGAAAATGACAGTCACTTTAAAAAACCTAAGATGAAATGCAAAGGAATTTTGGGGAATATGTCTGGTTTTATGTGCACAAGTAGTGAGTATGGGGTTTGGTACCTGGTAGCATATGTAGGTCTGTCTGTCTGAGTATTCTTGGGCTTTTCTGTTCTTGCTGCCTGGAAATCATCTGAATAAAACGTGAAGGCTGGGTGTGTTTGTCCTTGATCTTTAAAGGTCTGGCAGCAGGGTCAGAGCTGTCGCTCCAGCCAGGCTGTTGGTATCCAGAAATCTGAACATGCCCGCTGCTAGAGATACGCTCTCTCGCCTATACACGATGGAAGTGTTGGATGTGCTGTGTCTGAGTTGTGCAGCCTGCATTCAGACATGTGGCATCCGCAGACATTGTTTTCCTGTGCATAATGTTGTAGCTAGACCTACTCTGCCTGGAGTGTTTGTAAAACCTTCTGCAGCATGTGTAAAGAAACCAGCATTTATACGTGCTCACTTTTTCCTGCCTAAATTGGACAGGTGTTTTTGTGGAAGGGAACCTGCTGTTTAAATAATCAGTGTTTGTTTGTGCTATTGAATCCTGAGGTGAATTAGAAAGAGTACAGTATTTAGTAATGCATCATTTTAGTAATTCCACTTAACACATACGCAGTTTTTAATCAAGTTTACTGCACTTCGGTAATCATGTCATTCTTTTACAGTTTTTTTTAAGGCAGATTTGTTCCTCTAGTCTATTTTGCCTTCGATTTTACATGATTTGATTACAAAGTAACTGCTAGATAAATTTGTAAGAAGACTGGAAAAGAAGGGAATTATGTCTGTGTGTATTAGATAGTTAACTAGAGGGAGTTAAAAGGTTTACCTTGGTTCACAAAAGAACCTCAGTGGCTTTCCTAGGCTGAGAACTTGGTTTCTTTGCTCGTGGTCTCAAGATAAAGGGGACATGTCTCATTTTTGTTACACCAGTTTTACAGCATATCAACGAATAATCTAAGTACATTTTGTTCTGTTTCATAGAACAGAGAGCAGTAGTTTGCAGTCTTCTCAAAAGCCATACCTCATTACCAATGAGAAATGTGGTATCTAGAGCTGTTACAAGTTTATGTTGTGAAAGTTTTAAGGAGGAAAGTCTAAAATTCTGTATTGCTATTATGATAAATTGCCTTTAAAAACAAGGGCAAAATGGGCTATGTTTGAGTGGAAAAGTCAGGCTTTGGTTTAGTGTGTACCTGCACTCTTTTTGCTCAGAACTGTTCAGAGATCTGGCTGCAGTCAGTACGTGCTTGGGAAATGTTTTTGCTGTGATGACAATATACTTAGAATAGCTCCTTGGCTGTCTCTAAACTGTTACCTCTCAACTTCTGAGAGCTGGCTTGTCTTCCTGTGCATTTATGCCACACACTGCAGAAGTCCAGTGGCACACTGCATTTGGTTTCCTCCTTGAAAAGGTAGGAGCTGCTGCTTAATATCTCTGTAGCCTTCAGTAGACCTAATGAGTTCTGTGCTAGAGTTAAAGATCCATCAATGCCTTGATGACAAACAGCACAGCATTCAACAGACTGTGCAGTATCTGTTCTTCTAAAAACAATCTCACATTTCTCTTAGGCTATAAATTGAATCCCCTACTGTCATACCTTCTGAGCATTTGGGGTGCTGTGGAAAAGCTTACATGGCTTCTCTGAAAAAAATAGAAAAATAAAACCCTGCTTCTTACAGTGTGACCTTTCTGTATCATTGAAGGGTGAATGCAAGCTAAACTTATTCCTTCAATACAAAATAAATAGAAGTGATTGCAAAATCAGGAGAGAAGTATCTGTAGACAGTTTCAGGAAAAATCTCTTCTCGGTAAAAGGTAGCTTAACAGCCTGTTAGATGGCAGCATTACATTTTCTAGCCTTATATGTACTTAAAACACATGAGAAGTTGAGAAAACTTCTCCCCAAATGTTAATTTTAGGGAGGAGCTATGTTCCATTGAAACAGGCTGGCAGATAAGCTGTATGTACCTATTCTAGACATAGCATAGTTTATTTGCTGTTATGTTAATGACTCCAAAGTCTTGTGACTTTGCAATGAATTCACAAAACCAAGTTTACCTTAGGACTGAGTATTTATACTCTGAATGTAATTGTATAATTAATCATGTTTGCACTCTGGTATCTTTTTGATGCATTTAACTTTTCCTAAACAGAATGAAGCTGGATTAACAGAATTCTTTGAAGATGTGATAAAACAGACCCAAATGAAGCCAAAGAAAGTGATCGGCTGGATTCTGAATGACCTGCTCAGTTATTTGAAACAACATTCCCTTACAGTAAAGGAAAGGTCAGGCTTCTTGATTACTACAGTGGTGAAACAAAAGTGATCCTTTTCACATGTACCATGAATAGTATCATGTCACTCTGCTGCTTGCTTCTGCTTTAGTTACTATTTGTGAAGCTTGTTACATAGGCCTTGATGCTGTCATGTGAATGAAGTTAACCAAGTACCTTGCAGAGAAGAGGACCATGTAGTTAAGAGTAGTGATTAGCCTGCCTTCTTTGGAATATGGCAATGATAAGTCATAGTCAAGCCATCAATACTGAAGTTGAATACAGTGGATCACGAGGAAGAATACTAGCTTGTCATGCTAAACTGTGTGATCTTTAGGCAAGTAAGAGTAGCCTAGCTATGTTATTTCACCTTATTCTCTGAGGTAACTTCTTCTGCCTTCTTTCCTAGCCCAGTCAGTTCTTTTCTCCTGGCTGACCTTCTGAACCGTCTAGAAAAAAAAGAAATTTCTTCTACAGCAGCAAAGCAGGTAAGTACCTGTTTGATTTTACTGTAGTTTGAATCTGTGGCTGCTTACTCCATTCACATATCAATTTTATTATAATGTGTATACCAGTACATCGATTGCTTTAAAAGAAAATTATTTAGAGTGTTGATGAAGGATAAATTTTATATCTATACTATATACATATAGTAGATGAAAATGCCTCATGTGTATATAATATTACAGATACCTCTACATAGTCAGTGTTGGAAGGGGGCATGAGCCAAATAGTAGATTGAAGCAAAGCGAACTGAAGTCAAATAAATCCCACTTCTGAACAGACCAGACACTAGATCTCAATTTCACAGGTCGAGTCAGACCAGAATGAAAGGTCAGTGTGAGCTAATCTGTGACTTGCACTTAAACTGAGAGCATCAGTTACTAGGTACTAAGGACAGTAAGGTCTACATGCCCAAGCATTAGCATGTGGAAAACGATATTCACCTGAGTGTAGTCACAAAAAGAGTTCTGCTTTGGTGTATCCCTGAGTCAAAAGGGGAGAGGTCTGGCCTTCCTTTTATCCTTGCTTCTTTGAGCAAGTGCTGATGGAAAAGCTAGTTTCTTCCTCTTGAAATATCATCTTTCTTAGGACAGTCTGAAAAATCAGCTCTTGATGATTTGTATCTAAAATTGTGAGCTGGTTATGATGGGTACAGTGACTGCTGTGTCTGTAGACAAAATTTGGAGGTTTTGTGTGATAGGGAATAATCTGTCATTCACCTTAAATTGTTGCCTGTTCATATATGTGGAATGCATTGTCTTTTCAGATTAATTAATATCTTCTCAATAAATACATTAGATGAGTGCTTCTTCTCAGATGTTCATCAGTGAAACAGTTAATGAAGATATTTAAATTGCAATGAAGATCTTTAACTTGCCTTATCTGCTTTCACTCTGAGATACACAAGGCGGGTTTCCATCTTTTTCCATCTTTCTATTGATTCAATCAAATACAACTTTGGAATAGTATTGAAATCAGTTAACTTTTTTTTTTATGATTATAAACCAAGTATAATTGTTGCAAATGTGGATCTTTACCCTACTTGGAGACCCCTAAACTTCCTGGTTTGTTGTTTACTTTTTTTGGAGATGCTTGTGGGTCGTAACTAAGTTGGTCTTGTTGTTGGTCTGATTCAATAGCCATCTGCATATGACAGGTGTCATAAAAAAAGGATTTAAGTGCCTGACTGCAGGCACATGCATTTGGAAATTTCGGATTGGAAAAGTAAAAGCTTCAAAAAGGAGATAAAATATTAATAGGAAAAGCAGTGGATTGCAGAGCTGTGCCCACAGGGTTGCTGCACACCCATCAGTTTGGTGTCTGCGTTTGGAAGGGAAGCTTCAGAGCTCCAGCTTTCACTCCTGGCTTCCTTGTGGAGGTGCATCCAGGGTACTAAGGCTCTTCTACCAGAGTTTCTTGTCTTGTGATATATTTGGGTGCCAGCATTTCTGACAGGTTATGAAATGTCAAGAATTTTAGAGACGCTTTTCTTATTTAATTACCAACTCCTTGTAACATGCACGTTATCCTTGGTGTTCTGAAACTGGACACAGAGAAATAACAGTACTGTTCACCATCACTGAGTGATGCTATCAAACTGCAGAAACCTTGCCACATTTAGAAAAGCATTTTGGTTGCCTGGATGTCGGAAGAATAACAAATGTTTATAACAATTCTCAGCAGTAGGCAGAGATACTGGATGGCCCGAGGGCAGGAAAGGCTATATATACACAACAGCAGATGAATTGCAGCACTTGCGGTGGGGGAGAATGAACTGCAGTGGTAGAGCCAGATCGAACGTAGAGGGATAGAAGGGTTTGATGGTGTGAGTGGCAGACACGCATACACATACATGCTCACTGCAGGAAGCTGTTAACAGTTTAAATTTTTTAAAGGTTTTGTGTTCAGTCTCCACTGTACAAGGCACTAAAACACAGGCAGATAGAAGCTGTGAGCACTGATTGTCAGCACAAAACATTGTACAGTAGGATGCATCTGCCAAGGAAAGGGCACTGTGTGCCTACATAATTACCACTTAGGTAATTACAGAGCTCATGCCCAACTTGCCATCAGATATAGCATCCTACTCCAGAGGTCTCCAAAGCAGTTTCTGCCTGTGCAGAGGGGGGCAGCTTCCAGCTCTGTCGGCATGCAGGGCCATGTGGTGAGCCTGTCCAGGGTCAGGGGACCTGTGCAGGCACGTGCTGTGGCCCACCCCAGAGGCACCATTTTGAAGCCCACAGTGGGAGGGAGGTGCTGGTGCTGCTCACCCAGGGCTGAAACCAGCCTGATGGGGAGTGTGCCTGAGAGGGGGCCTCCATCAGTCCTCATTTGCTGGGCTGGCAAGGGGCCTGCCTCTGGGTCACAGCTGTGTGGGAGCAGAGAGGTTCCTGGGCCAGGGAAGCAGAAACTCGCCCCTGCTGCTGAGAGCTGCGCTGGAGCAACTCCGTATGGACCCCCTTTGTCACGTGTTTGTCAGGGATCTGTAGTAGAGTGTGGAGCAGAGCAGATCCCAGGTCTTGTTTGCTTCTGCAGTTGCCCAGGTCATTTTAAAGTAGATAGCAGGAAAATGAGTACAGTACACAAACCTAAACAGAACCATCTGCTTTGACAATTATGGCTATACCATCTGGAGGACTGGACCCAGCCTGCCCCTCACTCTTCTCAGAGGCTGAGGGACAACTGCCAGACATGGAGGCTTCCATTACTGGAAGGGAGAGATGCCCAGAGGGCTGACTGGAGTGGTGCTGCCTGCTGCTTCCCTCCCACCCTTGGCAGCAAATCACTGCAGATAGGGTTTCCAGTTGGAGCGTTCTCAGGCACAGCAGTCAGCTGGCACACTCACCAGTTGCAAAATGTTTGATGTGATGCCCGTGGCAGCCAGACGTGTAAGTCCTGATTAATTCATCTTGACCAATGGTTTGTGGCTACGCCTGTGTAGGTAGAGACTGCAGAACATCATTAAAATCTAATCACGCTCAGGCAAGAATCAATAGTAGAAACTACTGAGATTTCAGTAATGGAAATGAGGCCTGAGATTCTCATTTTGGCTCTGGAGGCTTCATAATTTGATCCTCCTGTTCTGGTGCAGGCAGTTTGTGTAAATGAGTTAAAATCATTTTTTAAACTGCTTTCTTTAGATTTGTACTCCTTGCCAAGTGGAGAAACACATTTTTAAAAGTGCATCTTTGACAGGTCTTGGCCACATCTCTTTCTGCTTTCCTACATACCTGTAAACAAGCAAGGGCCTTGATAACATCGTTGCTCTACTAGCCAAGTGGAGATACTGGTTACCAAATTAAAAAGTACACACAATGCAGATGTCACAGGGAAAATCTGGTGCCTTCGAGGTTTCTAATGGACAAGCTTTTCTCAGTGCCAGGAGACGCTTGGCACAGGAATTGCAGAGAATCAGAGCTGGATCTCTGACTGTCAAGCTGTCCTGCCCCTGATCTAAGTCAGCCTGATGTATGAGTTGCTCCTGGGTAACTCTGCCATGGTCGGCTATGTAGATTTTGTTTGTTGCAGATTTTCCCCCCTGCAGCCCATGGCATCCTGCTTGAAGTCCTAAAAAACACATCTGCCTGTTTCCAGGAGAGCAATATGGGTTATTCATTGTCCAGCCCCTGATTTGTGCAGCACTTCAGACTCTCCAGGGTGTTTTTCTATGAGAGGACCCCTTCTGAGGGGTGACATAACCTCCCGGTGCCTCAGGAGGCCTCGAGGACAGAATGCCTCCTGCCTGCTCCCTCAGTGAAGGAGTGGGAGGGGGTGCCTGGGTTAGCAGTGGAGTGCAACAAAGAAAAGGCAAGCAGCTGCAGACAACTTGAATCTCTGTGGGATGTGTTTGTTTCTTTCTAGGGGTATTCCAGGTAGCATTGGCATGATGATTTTTAAGTACTGCACTAGAATGTAGATCTTGAAGATATAAACTGCACTGATTTATTTAGATATAAACAGCTAAAGGCTTTAATTGCAGTGGTTGGAACTCTGGCTGCTTATCAATAACTTTAATATTGTGATCTGCCTTTAACCCTCTTACAGGGAAAAAACAAGCTGTAGCTGCCACGATATAGCTGCGTGTCATTCCCTCTCTCAAGATCTCCAGGAGAGTGATAAGATCCCATAAAAAGCTTTGGGGTACTGCTGGCAAACAAATCTCCTCTTGTAGGAATTGAGGCAATGCATGGTTCTTAAATACCTTTTGCAGCTACAGAGTTGTTTAACTTGAAGGTCTTTTTTATCAGAAAATTCTTCATGCTGAAGAAAATTGCTGGGGTAGTTAAGATACTTAACTTCATTTTTCCTAAGTTGTCTTACTGCCTTGCTAATTATTTAACATGCAGTTGGAATGCTCCTTCTTGTCCCCCCATCCCAGCTGCTTCTTCCTCTTATGGTGAGTGTTTAATACTGAAATTTTGACATGACATCCATTTCCATATTGGTACACAGCAATGGCCCAAACACACAATTACATCTTCAACTCAGGATGGAGCATAAGCAGCTGTTTTAATAAGGCCTTTCTTTCTCTCCTCCCACAGCTCTGAAATAAGAGCAAAGGGAATACAGAAAATGACTGCCCAAGGAAATTGGTTTTTTATAAATGTTCTCTTCTCTCAAGTTTATTCCAGGGCGATAGCCCTGCTACAGTATAGGAATGCATACTAGCATTAACAAGTGATTATTCCAGAGGCACAGGTTCATGCAGCAGTCCAGTACTTGGAGGTGATGCATAGGTGGGCTGGAACTGCTGCATTCATTCCACTTGGCATTATTTTTCTTCTGCTTTGTCATACGTATCCTCATTACAACTGGCTGATGAGCACCGGTAATGGGATGTTACCTGGGATTGGACTTGGTACACCAGTCAGCTAATCGTCACTTCCCAGGCAGAGACATTGCTCATGGAAATGCATTTCTTTACTGCTCTCGGGCAGTTCTTGTGACTGATGAGAGATGAGCGCGCATACTGCCGGAGGAGCAGCCTTGCAGTCAGCGATGGTCTCTGCCAGGGTGCCCCCCGCCCTCAGTGCAGCGAGGCGCATGGGGACTGCGCTCGCCAAACTTCCGTTGAAGAGGCACCCTTGCTGGTGGTATTGGGCAGCTCCCGGTGCTGCCGGGGGCTGCAGAGCACCAGTTGCAAACCATTCACCTGTGCTCACACCTTAAGTGAAAATGCTTCGTCTTGCTTCAGGATGCAGAAAAGGAAGGAGGGTACAAGAGGTGTTTGAGTGAGGCACAGGATTAAATCTTGGGTTTGCTCACATTTAGACAATCTGCTTTTGCTTTTACTGAAATCTGGCTTCTAGGATCAGTAGCTGAAATACTGCGTGTAAACAACATTGATTTGTCAAGACACTGACCTTCACTACTCGTTGTGACTTTTCAGGTGTTTGCGGAATTGTGGAAGGGAGAAGGAAAGACTCCTCTTGAAATTGTTAAAGAAAAGAAACTTCAACTGATACAGGATCAAGAAGATCTTGAACGGATCTGCCAGGCGGTGATTGATGGACAAGAAAATGAGGTGATTATTTGCCAATGGTGCTGGGAAGCTTGTGCACTGTAGCAGGCTGTGGCACTAAAAAGGAGGTTAAAATGGCCTCTCTATTTTTTCCTTTTGATTGGCATCTGAGCTCTAGAGCCAGTATAGAAGCATTAAAGCTGCTGCTGAGATATTATCAGGCTTTTCTTCTCCTTTCTTATTTCACTAAGTGATTTTTTAGAAATTGAAGCTTACATGAAATGATCAGCAGAAGAAATTACCGGTCTGGCTAATGTGCTAAGTCATTTTGAAAGGCCATAAAAGTTTAATGCAGGAAAGCAAAACTGCAGGGCCCTGTCACTCTTCAGCTATACTGCCATTAACCTGACCTGGACACCCAGCTACATAACTCTGATTTTTTTTTTTTTTTTTTTTTTTTTTTTTTTTTTTTTTTTGTCATCTGTTGTGAGATTAGGGCAACTGTGTGAAACTGTTCTGAGGCTGAAGTTACCTGCCAGCAAGGCATATATTGGTTATGGAATTAGAGACTATCAGAGCTGGCAGGGCAAAAATTTTACTTGCCTGTGTCTCTTTGCCATGTCCCTGCCTCCCTCCACTGCCACAAGCCAGGTCTAGCTGGCTCTCCCACCTGATGGCTGCTGTGAGGTGGGGAGGAGCTGGAACCCCCGTGGCAGTGGCAGCCATGGCTCCAGAGCTGCTCTCTGTTCTGCTGTTCTGCTGCTGGGCTGTGGCAGCAGTGAAAATGCTGCAGTAGGAAAGATGGGGTTTTGGCTCTTCCCCATCTCCTTGGAAGGACACGCAGCAGCCTGCCTGGCTCGTTGGTCTAAAAAGGTCTGAGCCGGGAAAAAGGGAAAAAAAAGCAAACATTGTTGATTGTGAAGGGAAGGAGTGGGAAGGGATCCTGACAGCCTAAAATCTGCTTTTTAAAAAGCAAAATGAAAACAAGTGCTTACATGTTCTCTGGCGCGAAAACGTAAAAGCAGAAGTGAATAGCTTACTTCTAATAGAAACATTGTCTAGATACATTTGCCATTTGGAAAAAAGCATTAACATCTTTTGAGAACAATACCACCCACCCCAGATCTCACTGGAGGATGCTAACAGCTCTGCAAGAGCTTTTGATAAAATGAGCTTGCAGTAGGTCAGCATGACCTCCATCAGACTGACTCATTTGCAGAGCCTGATAAAAGTGCTGCTGTATTTTCAGAGTGGTACGGAAGCACAAGTGTGGATAGAGAGAACATTAGAACTGATTGGGAAGTGCAGAAGCCGAAGGTCCATAACTACGCTCCCATTTCAATAATAATGCTTTCTCCGAGATGTAATTCCTCTCTGTTTGCTACTGTTTCAGTCAAGCCAAATGCAGTAGAATGGCCTCACTTCCTTACTTTCTCCAGATGATCTTTAACCAAGGCAAAAGCTGCCTTGAAGGCCTGTAATTCCCTGCTTTTAACTGCTGCAAGAGCTTACCTTGCAAAATAGCATTAGCTGAGTACTTGATGGGGGAGAAAAAAAAATAGTAATGCATACTTTTTGACAGTAAACTTTCTTTAAAATGAACTAACTTACACAATTGCTCAAGCCACCACTGAGCTCTTTATGAAGATGCAGTGTCTGGATTGTTTTGCACTCTGCCCCATATAGGTTATTTTGAGCAGAGCGGGAGTATTGAGTCCTTTCCAGATTGTGGCATTACAGAGAAGATTGTAGCCTGCCAATAATTTGGATACCGTAATGAGTAGCAATATTTGCATTTGTGCTTGGTATTGGCACAGTTGGTGGTTCATATGTTCACAATCCTTCCCATAATATCTGTAAATATGACATCTTGTTTAATTGAAGCTATCATGTTTTGCTCAGTAACTCTTGACGACATAGAGAACGTCTTCCTGCTACACAGGCTGGACGCTTGTCTTTCAGCAGTAGCATCTCCTTAAGGAATGCCCAGAAGTTAGATTTCCAGTGCTTTTTTCAGTGGCTGTACTTAGCCTTTAAATATGGCCCTTGCTATTTTGCAGGTGCTTGTGCATCAACCACTAGCTGTCTGATGGGAGGTTGTATTTCTCATCAGTTAATTGCTACGTTGCAAAGGGTTCTGCGCTTAAGGGAAACAACATGCTGTTATAAAAACACCTACGTCTGTGCTTGAAGGACCTCACAAATATTATCAAATAGATTATGATTCCATGCAAAATTACTTGTTACAACTGAGCATTACATTGAGTAAAAGGTGGATCCTGTTATCATTTTTCTGGCTCCTTTCAAGGAAGTCGCTGTTCAAGTTACAGATGCTGTTAAAACGCAGAAGACTTTTTCAATAAGAGGAGAGCTTTCTATTAATTGTAAGGCCCTGCTGCTGTAGGGACCTGCTGTTGTCTCATGAGAGTACAGTAGGAGCTTATTGCAAAGCTGAAGGCAGTTATTTATAAATAACATCCTAGCCCAAAACATAGTATTCTACCACAATGGTCCCAAGGACAAAAATATTCATACCTCGCTGTGAATGAGTGAAAATGTCCAGGTTTACTCTAACAGTGGTGTCTGTTGGGTTTTTTCTTTAAAGGTAATGGCGATCAAATCAGGAAATCGAAAAGTTCTAAATAAGTTAATTGGCCTGGTGCAAAGGGAAACACAAGGACGCTCCAATCCTGTTCTGGTGAAGCAATTACTAGAGAAGAAGCTGTCAGAGTAGCCACAAGAGAAAACCACCCAAGAGGAAGCCACAGAGTGGCCACAAGAGAAAAGAGTTTTCTACAGAAAACATGTGCTTCATTCTGTCTGGTTCACTGCAAATGAACTTCAGCGCCTCCTCATGTAGTGGCGGGTTATTGGTTGTACTGCAAGCAGCGTTACGCCCTCAACTTCCCCAGCTGCATCAGCCAAAGGCAGAGAGCAAAAGAACAGCAGGAGCTGACCCAGAGATTTGCGTCTCCCTCACTTCGGTGTGGAGTTCAGAAAAGTGTTTTCCATACAGCCAGGGGAAGCAGGTTCCCGGGTGTGTCCATGCGTGCACAGATTGCTGAAGCTGTAACTGGTTGGTTTTGTGATACAGCAAGTGTAAACTCGCCTCCTCCAGCTGCCTTTTTGTGGGAGGGGAAATTCACAAATCATGAATGCAAAATCGGGTGGTGGTGGTGCACACAAACAACTCAAGGTAAATAAGTGTGAGCACACTAGTAACAATGATTAAAACACCTAGCAGTAATTAAGAAGACCCCATGTGCCTGCATGTCTAGCAAAAGGGAAAAAATATCCACTGCTCTCACCAATCCTGGTTTCTGAGGGACAGGGAGATGATACAGTCTCCAGCTGCTTAAGCACATGCCTGAGGCTAGTGCCACAAATGCAGGTAAGTACCTCTATCTAAGAACTGGCATCAGGCTCTTTGCTCCCCTTCTTGTTCCGTGCCCAACCCTCCACTTTGCCTGCTCAATGCTCTTGCTTGGGGCTGGTGAGCCTGACAGAAGTTTGCCTGAGCCTTTGGGCAGCTCCCATCACTGTTTGGGCGGCGAGGTTCAGCAGAGCAGACGTGTACCTGACGGCCCCGCAGGGCCCAGCTCTCAGGCTGCAGCTCATTAAAGGGATCAGTTGCTCCCCTTTGGTTTCCCCTCTGCTGGGGAGAACGTGCCCTTGTGCCGGTGGGCTCAGAGCTGGCTGCTGGCCCCTGGAACTGTTCCACAGTGGGGAAGGAAGTGAACATCTGGCTTACCACAACTGCACAGGGTGCAGCTGGCTTCCAGGGGCTGCTCTGCTATTTAATCCTGAAGAGTGTCTTATGCTGTTTTTTTTATACCTTCCATTTTTTGTCTCCAGCTTTAACTACCCCCTGAAATCCAGGGTTAACTTCCCAGTCCCAGCCCACTTTAGCTGATCAAACCATTAAGAGGAAACGCAACCTGAGGCAGCCTATCACACTTACATTTATTAGGGAAAGAAATCCCATTTAGTACCAGGGGTTTGAAGTTCTTAAATCCCTTCTGGAGGTTGCTAAGCCGTACATTTTAAAGATCACATTTATCTCAGACCTTGGAGATGCTACTTCAGAATTGTTCTTTAGGATGTGCCTGCAGGGCAGACATTGTCACAGGCACGGCAGCTGTGGCCCTGGGACTTCAGTCACCTTTTGCAAATGTGGTGCTTGCGACACCAGCTCAAATGAGGTTGAGGGCAGTGAAAAGTAGTGCTAATGTATGTCTCAAGTAGGATGTTTCCGTACAGACTGGCTTCCAGTTCAAGTGTGAACTCTTAATTAGAAGGAAAAAAATCCCCTGTTTTTCAAATGCATTTAATGAATAAAATGTATACCCATTATTCACATTAAAATAACTTTACACTTCGAAAGTCATACAGCTGACAAAAAGCAGTAATGTGGTTACCATCAAAAACTGTGACCCATCAAAAAAACCCAAACCTAAACCTCCAACCACCCTAGATTTTCATGTCACCTGACTTCACACAAAGGCTTTTACTATCACTTTTCACATAAGCAAAAAGTGCCATTTTTACTTAAAGTGTGTGGGTAAGTGTTCAGTCACTAGAGGTTTAGATTATACAGCAAACTTTAAATTTTGGATTCTGTTCAACTCTTGCCCTGGCAGCAAGAAATGAGAAGGCACAAGGGCTTCTGCATGAAATCTTGAATCTTAATTTAAAAGTACTTCCTCAGTTTAGTAAAACACAATTGCTCCAAAAGGTGCTTCCAAAAGGTCAATGTTTTTTGTTGCACAGCTTGATGCTGCTGTGCTGTGCTTCCCTGCTGCTGCAGTGGGTGCCTCTTAAGAAAGAGAAAGCAAAACGATGTATTTGGAAGAATAATAATTACGGTATATTTAAAAGAAGGATCTCCACTACTGTAGCATGGCTACTGCTGAGAAATGTTTTTTTTAATGGCTACTTCTTAGCCACGCTTTTCCCATGTAATTACACTTTGTTAATATGGTACAAAAATCTGTTAAAAATCATAAGCCAAGTTCTATATGAGTAGAACCTATACAAGTACAGCATTAGATCTTTAAATGGCTACTGGAAGAGCAACTGACATCTACCTGAACTTGTGCAAAGCATCTGACACTGTCCTGCACAACATCCTTGTTTCTCAAGCAGAAAGACACAGATGTGATGGATGGATCACTGAGTGGATAAGGAATTGGCTGGATAGTCGCACTCAAAGAGTTGCAGTCAACGGCTCAATGTCCAACTGTAAAGCAGTGCAAGTATGTTCCTCAGGGGTTGGTGTTGGGACAGATGCTGTTTAACATCTTTGTCAATGACATGGACAGTGTGATCAAGTGCACCCTCAGCAAGTTTGCCAATGACACCAAGCTGTGTGTTGTAGTTGACAAGCCGGAGGGAAGGGATATGCCATCCACAGGGACCTGGACAGTATTGAGAGGTGGGACCATGAACATCATGTAGGTCAACAAGGCCAAGTGCAAGGTCCTGCACATGGGTCAGGGCAGTCCCAAGCACATATACAAACTGGGAGGTGAGTGGATTGAGAGCAGCCCTGTGAGAAGGACTTGGGGGTATTAGTAGATGGAAAACTGACTATGAGCCAGCAACGTGCACTCGCAGCCCAGAAAGCCAACCACGTCCTCAGCTGCATCAAGAAAAGTGTGGACAGCAGGAAGAGGGAGGGGATTCTCCCTGTCTGCTCTTCTGAGCCCCCACTGGAATACTGTGTCCAGCTTTGGGGCCCCCAGCATAGGAAGGACATGAACCCCAGAGGAGGCCACGAAGATGATCGGGGGCTGGAACACCTCCCCTGTGAGGACAGGCTGAGAGAGTTGGGGTTGTTCAGCCTGGAGAAGAGAAGGCTCCAGGGAGACCTTATAGCGGCCTTCCCGTACTTAAAGGGGGCCTGCAGGAAAGATGGGGAGGGAGTCTTTGTCAGGGAGTGTAGTGGTAGGATGAGGGGTAATAGTTTTAAACTGAGAGTAGATTTAGATTAGAGATAAGGAAGAAATTCTTTACTGTGAGTGTGGTGAGGCACTGGCACAGGCTGCCCAGAGAAGCTGTGGCTGCCCCCTCCCTGGCAGTGTTCAAGGCCAGGTTGGACGGGGCTTTGAGCAACCTGGGCTAGTGGAAGGTGTCCCTGCCCATGGCAGGGGGGATGGAACTAGATGATCTTTAAAGTCCCTTCCAACCCTAACTATTCTATGACCTACCATAAATATCAATCTGTTTTCACCTCCACCTGCCAGGCATAATGGATAACAAGAAAGATTAAAAAGGAGTAATTGTAATATTCTTTCCCTTCCAGGGAAGGGAAGGGAAGGGAAGGGAAAGAGCAGCTATAGTCTATAATTTTGCAGTGTATTATGAAACAGTCACTTCTGAAATTTTTAAAACCTTTTGCAGGTGCACATAAAATGTAAATTTCTTTCTGTTAGAAGTGGTTTGAGTCAAAATGATATCAAGATGATGAATCTTTTTAACATTTGTGGAGATACCAGCTACCAACTTCAAAGCAGTGGCAGGTGGCAGTGCCAGGACCTGTGCTAGGACCTGGCTGACAGCACTGAAATGGCTCAGCAGGACAGCAAATGCTGCTCCCACCACAGTAGCCTGCATTAAGGGGCTCATCGGTCACCTTCCACCATTTTGATCAAACCAATACAACCAAATGACCAGATCCTTTTTGGCCTGCCAAGGGCCTGATAGAGCAGCTGAAACAGAACTACCACCTTCCTCTGTGTCCTATATGGAGCTAAAGGCAAAGTCTAAATACTCTGTAAGTGACCTCTGTACTGTGCAAAACAGCTTTGGTTTATTTTTGCATAGTAGTTGATGGAGCAAGGAAGACGGATGCAACTGTAAGACGGAAGCTGCAGCCTCAAGAAATTTAATATCTGCTATTGTAAAGACAAATTTAAAAAAAAAAAAAAAAAAAAAAAAAAAAAAAAAAAAAAGAAGCACCGATGGGTCTGCAAGGTAAAAGGCAGAGCCTATGTAGTCTTCCATGTCAGAACGTTCTGCAGACCAGGAGGCTGGTTTTTTAAGTGTGGTTGTATCGAGGCTAGGAACGGAAGAATTAAGACTGAGGCTTTGACCCCAACTTGCAAGTCATATTTAGCTATAACAGTGCTCCCTGATCTACTGATTGCAGATGCCATCTGTGCAACAACATTAGGCGGGGTGAATTAAGGACAGTTTCATGCAGATTTTCAGCAGTAACCATCCACAAAGAGAGGGCCAAGGAAAATGCTCACAAATTAAAAGCTGACACCAGACCCTGTCACAACAATCTCATCTACTCATTGCTGAAGTCCTTTAGGAGGTCACTTCTGAGGATGGAGAGATGATACTCACTATCCTGTAGAGCTGAAGTATCCCATATCTGAGGCTGCAGAAGAGAAGAAAGTTGTCTGAAGAGATGCTGGCAATGCTGAAGTAATGAAGAAAGAATTTCTAGCGCTCAGCCTTGGCTGCAGAGTTTAATTTTAACTGTGTTAAATATAGAAGCATATGATAGGAACCTTAACTAAAAAATTTACAGCTCGAGTATTCACACTGCAATTCCACTGCAGCCCCTTTCCACTCCACTTCTGTGGCATGGTGTCAGCATACTGTAATGTTCTCATTTCTGTTCTGAGCACCCCTCTACCTACACACTTTCACAACCACTGACCTCAACAGCACCTTCACAGTGATTTATGGCCTCGTGTGTATGCTCAAAATGTAGAGTGTTTTTTTTCACATAAAGAAAAACAAATTGGGTTTTCACTCAACTCTCTCTTATCAAACTGTGTGAGGGAAAAGATGGAATAGCATGCTACTAGGCTTTTTGCCCTTGTTGCCTGTATCTTCCTTGCAATGCTGTTTACAAATACTCCAAAGTTCATTGGATTCAGCTTCAAGTAATGGCCATATAAAACCAAGTTACAGCAGACAGGAGGTCAAGATTTATTGACCCAAATGCTTAGAAGCTTACCTGCACTGGGTTGGCTGTTGAGTACAAGCCGTCCCTGTCCCCTCAGAAGCTGCAGTCTTTCAGGTAATATACAGAGAGAGAATTCTATTGCTGAACAGTGTAAGGAAGGCAACAAAATACTAAATCCTAAATTGTCATGACCTGTAATTTGCTGCACCTTTTTCTGCCCATGGCAATGGCAAGTTTAAACTCCTCCTAGACGAGCCCCTGGGCCAAGCCAGATCCACAATTAGGGATGACTGCTGTGGGAACACAAAACCACCAGGAATGCTTCTGCCTGTGCCCCAAAACACACCCCACATCTGGCCGTACAGCCTGAATTTTAACTGCAATAAAGCAAACCTACAGAAATGCTCGGGTGCTGCCCCGATGCAACAAAGATGCAAAAGAAGGTAGAGTTTAGGGAGCAATGCAGCTGGGCATGGTCCTAACAAGTACTAACTGAGTCTTCCTTCTAGGACTATCCTAGCCCCAGACCCTTAAGATCTCCCACAGGGTGTACAGACATTCCACAATTGTCTGCAGAATTTGCTGACTGGCTGTACCTAGAGACAGGGAGGGACCCTGCTCTTTGCTGTTCATCCCCTCTTATCTGTGTGTCAGGTCCAACTCATGACCCTGCAAATGACTCCATCTCACCTGTTGGCTCTTCCCCCAGAAAAGACGGTGACAGCTGTGCCAGACCCTGTGTCACCCCAACACATAGACAGGCAGCCAATTATTTCATGCCACATCCACTGCCTTGTCATCACAGCCTTTGGAGAAAAGCCTAGAGCTGGGTTCAGTATTTAAAGCTGCAGAGGTGGTACTACCATGAGCTAATCCTAACAAGAGCACTCAAGGCCAACTGTTTCACTGAAGGGAATGCTCCCTCCACGCACAGGCATTTTGTGTAAGCATGAAGCAAAAGTTCTCCTGATACATGGTCACATCAGCCACAGCTTTAATTATTGAAAGCATTTACACCCACTAAGCAGGCATAACCATCAGTAAGTTATATTTTACCTTCTCATTCCTAAAGCTCGAGAGGCCACATTTTCAGACCGGTCTAAGAAGCTGAGAGGATTTTCACACTGAAGCTCAAAAACTGATGTTACAACTCTGGTGTTTTATGATAGATGCTGGTCAGTTTCCAACACCAAGCTGCACTTGGTAGAGACCCTGAAAGACACAAGTCCTCGGCCCAAGCTGCAGCAAGGGATACTGAGACCCACAGCCACTCCCTCTCCTTTTGAGGACAAGATGGCATTTTGTCCAAGCTCTGGCCAAACTGACACAGCGGCACTAAGCTAGACACAGTTTAGCTGTCTTGGATCTGACTCATCCATGTTATTTTTTGGTTTAAATCCAAGCTGGTTATTTTTCAAGTAGACTGCAATAAAATACAGCAGCTGTGGAATTGGCTTCATCAGAAATGTGAGTTTGCAGGTATTTAGTCCACAATAGGTACATGGGCAGTCTGCTGAAGCACCAAAGAAAGTTAACTGGTTGAGAAATGCAGCCTTTGCACAAAAGTTCCATCAGGGCTTTTAGCCCAGAGACTTCAGTCTTAATTTAATCCAGCTGCCACACAAGAACCATTATAATCAATGAACAAAAAGAAGATTTGCACAGTCGGCAACAAAACGCCACTTTAAGTACCTACATATTTGCAAATCCAGGTAATGCTCCTATTCATAAATAAAAGGCTTCCAACTGGGCATATAACAAATGAAGTACATTGATGCTGGGCCACAACGTATTTAGAAAAGCTGGGGGCCCCTAAAAAAGTACATTTAGTCAGAGCTGAGATTTCACTGCCAACAAAGTCACTGAAATAGCATTGCATTCTGTGGCTGCCTGGAGTCGGACAGCTGGCACTGCCGTCATATCTGAATACCTATTTAATGCAAGTCTGACACCACCTTAACAATGAGCAATTTTACCTCCCTTCCCACAATTCTGGCCCAAAACATATCAGTGCTATCCACTTGAGTAGCTACCATAAGACACTGTCAATTTTTCAGGTTTGCTCTGAGCTTTCTCTTTCTGGTCCCCGGTAAATCAGAGCAACACAAATGTAAATTCTGTCTGCATTTCACAGGGGCGGGTGCTCCCTGCTAATCTGTGGTGTTTTACCTTTGGTTTGCTCATTAACTTAAGGAGCCTGAGTGTCACGTACCCTCCGTTTCTGCTGATAATACTCAAAAGGTGCAAGGAATAACATACTGTAATTATCTAAATCGGATCTGGATACAGCAACATTACTGTACTGTGCCAGAGCTATCCACGCTAAAGGAAAAGAAAGAGGGAAATCCCAGGATTCTACTCATAACTGCAGATGCAGTTTAAATGTTAAAAATGTAATAGGAGCCGTCGTAAAAACTGCAGGCATGACATAGCAATTTCAGTAAATACAGCACAGTAAATTGCTTATTAAATCAAGCTGCCCTCAAACAGAAGCTGTCGCTACAAATTCAAATGACATAATGACATAATTTAACTGCACTAAATCACACCACTCCCATCCTTTTCTTCCCAACTCTGAGATCTTAGAGCTTCTTAGAGGAGCTAAAAAAACATTCCTGAAGCACGAATCCTTCTGTGAGGCATGAACAGAGTGCACAAAAGGGTAGTGAATGTGTACACTCTGTGCTAGACAGTGTACTTCTCTTGGTAAATAGAACTTAACCTCTTGAACTCAAGCCCTTGGACTCTGCGGGATGCAGTAAGTTTGTTTGCAAATGTATTTCTCTGAAGGAGTGAACAGACCACTTAGGCGTTGTGCCGAGGCCAAAGAGCAATTAGAATGGTGCTGGTGGCAGAAACGCTGTTCAGGCTGTCTCTCCAGTCCTGTTCCCATCCCAAAGCATGGCCCCTGCCCATGTCTGAGGTTCATCCCAGTCACACCCTGTGTTTTCTCCCATTCTAGGAAATGTACCAAGGAAATTTTTCTCCCATTCTAGGAAATTATTAAACCGCAAAAGGCAAATGCAATAAGCAGGTACAGCAGCACGACACCGCTGAATTCATCAGACTTTTTACAAAGTGACAAACCCCAATGAAAGAGGAAATAAGCGCTTTATGAACTGAATGCTCTGAAAGATGGATCTGGGTGTACCAGTGGGAGGCACAGCCTATGCCAGATCCTGGCAATCTTCTCACCTCCACGGAATACAGCTGAGAACAGCAGCTCTCATTTCTGTTCTTCCAAACCAAGGTCAGAAGTTACCAGGATAAAGGTGGCAGAGCATCCTTCACATCTAAAACTGCAACACCAACAACTTGATCACATTTGAAATCCTGTATTTTTCTTTAAGCTACACACAAAAAAAGATAACATTTAAGGAAAATGCCTAGAATACAATAATAAAAAAGCAGGAAGTGGGGCCAACAACACAGCACATGAATTGCAACTGACCGTACATGTTCAAAGACCAGCATGTGCAAAGAATGATGCTGTTTTGAATGAAAGTTACCAAGTGCGTGAGCCCAATTAATACAAACCATGTGTGTGCACACACTGAGACTAACCCACAGGGCATTCAAAAATGGTCAAAGGTAAAAAAGAATGACTACAACTGTTTTAAGACAAAGTGTTCACTCTATAGGTATGTTGCAAACAAACAACAAAAAATAGCAGGTTGAAATTGCCAGAAAGATTCCTTGCTACAGCAGAACAGCTTAAAAACACACACAAAGGCTACATCACTGGAAATGTGGCATTCACAGTTTGAAAAATCTAGCAGGAGACTGGAAATTAACTTTGGTATCACTGAGCCACCACTTGCAGGTTTTGGAATAGATCTGCAAACCCCAGGACATTTCATTCATGACTGATGCTGAGACAATGCACCAAAGAGGGGAAGAGCTCTAGTCACACACACACATCCCCACAAGTGTGGGGAAACCCAGACCACTTCCTTATTCTTGGAAAGGGCAGCATAACACTCTGTTCTCTGGGGCCTACCAGCTGCACCACAGCTTGGACCACAGCCTTCTGGGGGGTTTTGGTAAAAGATGTATCATTGGTGAGAGATAACACATTATCTAACTGGAAGGAAGAAGCTTAATTAAAGAAGCATTTGGCTGAAGAACTTATGCACACAGAGGTGATTAATCTTAAAAGATCAAGATTTTCAAGCTAAATCACAGGTGCTGCATTTTCAAGACAGGGTTTTTTTTTTTTTTTTTTTTTTTTTTTGGTTGGGTGCTGGACATAGTGCTACCATCACAACTAAGACATAGCTGCAAGTCTGATCCTACTCAGGAACCAAGTAATAAAGTGACACATATGATCACCATTTTTTACAGTCCTGAGCCAGGGTCACTGCACTCATCCACCTCTTTCTTTTGGGAAGCTGGCAGAGAGATTTCCCATTTACAAGGGGACACTGCACACAGACACAGTTCTGACCTTTCAGCAAGAAGTCTTCCACATGACTCCACATTTCAAAGGCTGAATTTATCCTACTGGATGTAGAGCATAAGCTCTACTACAGCTTATGAGATAAATCCCTCCCCTTCCTCAAATTTACAGATGCTTTTTGAACAGTCCACATTTTAAAATCCCTGTGTAGCTTAATAGGCCTGCTGAGATGAAAGTGCCATGACTTCGTGCATTTGTTGAAAACAAATTGAAAATTAACAATCTCAAAAGAAATCCTTTCTATCCAGCAAATAAATATTATTTTAGAATAAAAACATGGAATGGGAGTGTTCACGTAGTAACCTTACTGCCTTGCACACTGGTCTACAGAATTCTTTATTTAAAAAAAAATAATTATTTTTCATTCCTTTTTAGAAAAAAGTCCTTCAGAAAAAGGATCGGATCACTTCTGCAATTTAGCACTTGTTTCTGAACCACTAGAAGTTAGCTGATCACACTCATTTGGTACTTTATCTTTTGCTCACAAAGTTCCTACCAGAAGAAGTGAGAAGCAGAGCAAGCACTGACCCTGCGCTCACAATGCTAAAACACTTTACACACACCCCCCACTATTGAACCTCTTCAGGCCAGGCCTACGAGTACAGCATGAAAGACAGCACTACTGGTAACAGTGTGAGTAGGAGTGGGGGAGTGAGGAAAGAACCCACTATGTCAAGGTGGTTGTTTGTTTGTTTGTTTTTTTAAAAATAAAAATCTTAATTTGCTCATCACCCATGTACAACAACAGTGCAGTGGAAAAAAAGAAAAAAGGAAGAGCTCTCAAACCTGGATAAGAAAGATTTAAGAAAAAAACCCACAGCCTTGGCTTCAGCTTCCAAGGAAGTGTGTGAGGTGAAGAAGGGCCATGTGGAGGTCAGTAGGTGATTTACAGGATGGTGATGCAATGGTGCCTAAAAGAATAAACAAGTTAGAAGTGAAAGCAAACAAGAGTCAACTCAGAAGCAACATGACTCCCAGCCATCGTGGAAGTGAAGACTACAGTAAACAAGTGAAGACAGATCCAGAGTAGTTCTTGAGGTGATTTTGTTAGGAGGTACATTTTGGGATTTTTTTTTTTCCCCCCTTGGAATAGCCTACAGCACTCTGACACAATAAATGAAATCTCACATCTTGTAGATTAAAGGTACAACTTTTCAGAAGCATCTAAAGGATTTAGGAGCTTAAATTGCACTGCAAATTCCACAGGAATTTGACACATAATTAATTAGACTCTTTTGGAGTACATTTGGGGTTTGTTTTTCAAGTGTTCTTTTCCCTTGCAATCTCTGAGAAAGTGTGTTTCAAAAATCAGGATGCAATTAACTGGAGCATCCCACGTTATGGAACTGCAACGAGCAGGAGAACTAATGTATGCAAGTGTTTTTTCTGATTTCCGTTTCTTCAGATTTCCTGGAGTCACTGTTAGTGTCTTTCTTGGACAAAGGGATTTAAGGCTTTCTTGAACTAAGCCCCTCTTCATGTAGCCAACTACAGCACACTGGAAGCACAATTATGCTACTAAGATAAGATGAAATGCAGTGGTGATGCACCAATTCATCATGTTTGGGTTCTTCTAATGAAGCCCATTACTCACAGAAGAGAATTTTCTCAAGCAGTTAGTCACCAGCAGACAGCTTTCCCTGTTACTCCTTCCTTTCCTACAGCTGGTGAATAGCCTGGTCCTCCCCTCACCATTCCAAAAGTGCAATTTTAGGAAAAGTCAACACCTAAATTAAAAGTAAACAAAAAGTATTTAACTTTCCCTTAACCAAAAATATTATAACAATAAAATTTTTCAAGAACAAGCCAACCTTTTCATTAAAAAAGACAAACAATAAGACAAAACCAGCCTGCTGTCCTTTTAATACTACTGAAAGATATTTAATACCTTTCTTTAGCTTATTAAAATAAGCATAAAAACAAACTACATACTAACTACAGCGTGCATAGAAACATTTTCTTTTGTACTTTGTGCAAATCTTACTAAATAAGGCATGCTTGAGAGTTTAGGTAGCAGTGCAGTAGTTGTCAAAGAATGCTGAGAAACTGCAAGGAAAATTCCAGGCAGTCTGCAATCCACATCCACTTACACAGTTCATTTGACTTCAAAGACCAACAGCTGATAGCTGCAGATCTGCCTGCAACATAAGGCAATATGGTATGTGTAGGGTCCAGCACCTGCTTTCAGCTAGTCATGGGTTTAATACACATAAGATCACTTGAATTCAAAAAAACCTGAGCTGCTAGTTAAAAAGAGTGTTCAGATGTGGGTTGGTAAGAACCCCATTTCAAGAAAGGGAAGGGTGAAGAGGACAAAGACATGAAGAAGCACAACCCTTCACATAAAGGGGTTTTGTGCAGATTTTGCATGTATTTTTATACCCTGAACTGTCCCCATGGGGCAACATTTTTCCAAACAAACTGTCTTCTAACAAATCCAGAAGAGTATTTCTGGAACAGAAAAAGTTAAAAAGTTCACCTCTCTTAGCCAACCTACAAGTGTCTATTGCAGAAATTCAACAGGAAATCAGCAACACTAAAGTAAGGTAGCTGTGTAAAGAGGAGGAGGTGAAGTAGGAAGCTGCAGTAAGAGCAGTATCGGAAATCTCTCAAATAAGTTATGCAGCACAGAGGGAAATTATAAGGCCTAATATAAGGTAATGTCAAATAACATTTTGCCTCCTCCTTCCCCCTTCAAATCAAGTATTTTCAGGAGATACTGAAGTACAACCTTCTTTCGTAAGCAGCTTTGCATTAAAAATCTGTTTAAACTCCAAAAGCTTTCTTAAAGCATATTAAAAAAAACCTACTAATAATAATCCTCAAAATCCCCCAGTATTTTGTAACATAAAATGGAATGTTCCTGGGCAAGAGCTGCCAGCTCCTTCAGGAACTCCGGGAAAAGGGCAGCTGCGAGTACAGCATTCCTCACGTGCACAGGAAGGCCAGGATGAGCCAGGCCTTTCTTTCCTTTTTGTCCCAGGAAAGGCTGCCGTACAGCCGGGTAATCTTCAGAGAAGTTCCTTCCTTTCCCTGTGTTGTTGCTGTGCTGGACATTACCTAAAGCCGAGAACAAAGTAGAGGAGAGGAAAGGAAAAAAAGAAGAAAAGAAAAAGACTCAGTATATTAAGCACACACAGTATTTATACAGTGTCCAAAACCAGTTTACAAGGATTGTGTTCAGAGCTGTAGTCTGCAGTACCCAGACCGTGCAGGGAGATACTCCACTAATCCAACACTTTAAAGTTCTAGCCTGATTCTATTGCATTTTTTATTAGCTATCTTTCCCCAGGTTATATATTATTCAGTTCCAGCTCTGATGAGAGAAATACGTGGGCAGAAGAGGAGTCAAGGGAAACAGTAATATGGATTTACCTTATAAAATAGCAGATAATATCTACCCATCTAGACCCAGCACGGATGTCTCAATTTAAATGATACTGTGCTCTAGCCCTCCCCCAGATCACGTATCATTTGGACTTTACTTCTCCCTCTCTTTCTCTGTTCTCTCCCCATGAATCATTGTGTAAATGGGTTTGAGGCCGAGCTAGCACATCCCCATGGGAGGCTGAAGCAAGCTAGAAACTCAGGGAAAAAACATTTGAAAATTTGATTTTTCTGCAGCTGTAGGCCCTACTAACTACACTTACCTTTAACTCCCTGTAAAGCAACTAAACATTAAAAAAAGAGCAAGTGAAAACCACTGTGTACCCTGCTATATGATCTCTACTGACAAGAGTTCAGAGGATCAGGGCTCGGGCATCACAACGCATGGAATTACAGTGACAGCAGCACTTAAATTTCAATCAGTTGCTCCTTGTTTCAACCTGAAGCAGAAGCGCACTTTAATTAGATTATAATTAATTTAGTGAAACTAAAAAGGTGACAAAATTTAACACTGATGGAAATAAATACTTTACAAAGGAAAATTAACCTGCAGAACTCACTGCCACAAGATGTCATTGATGCCAGAAGCAGAGACAGGTGAAATTTTGTCTAACTTAAAAAAAAAAAAAAAAAAAAAAAAAAAAAAAAAAAAAAAAACCAAACGACTGTCACGTTAGCTCACATACTGCAGATAAGCCAAACACTACATTGCTGCATTAAGAAGACATTTCCCTTCAAGTGCATGCAGTTTATATTAAAGCTTCTCAGTCAGTCTCAGGTTACACCACCCTTTTTCTGAAATCTCTCCATGTAGCTAAGACGGGGACCCATAGGTGAATGCCTCACCCAATGCAGCAGGTCAGTCCCTCTGCTCAACTGCTCTGTGCTTTTGTTCCTTTCCTGTAGTTCTCCTAAAGCACTGTGGAATTACTGTACACTTCCAAATACTCGAAAGAAATGTTGACCTTAATCATCTTAGAGTTGTACTTTTCTTGAGTTTCAAAAACCTTTCCAACTCCAGACTTATCAATCATTCATACTGTTATTCTACAAATTTCTATCTACTAGAGACAGTACAGGAATTTCAGTTCTATGGAAAGTTCTGACTCTGGGAGAAAAAACAAATTATGAATTACAATTAAAAGATAGTTTTAAGCTTCCTCGAAGATATTTTTTTCATTAGATTTTCTAATGTCAAAATGTTTCATAATTTTTAAAATAATTTAACCAATATAACCACAATGCTAGTATATTGTCAAAGCTTTGCTATTTTTTAAAAAAAAAAAAAAAAGCCACCCTCTTCCCTTCAAAAAGCATCAAAATTTATATATTTCCCTAAAAATAATTTTGATTTAGATTTAACTGCTTACTTGAAAAATTAAGAGAAAAGCACAGAAAGCTGGTTAGGGACCTGAGATCTTTTTCTTTGACTAGGATTGTCCACTTCTTTCTAGGGTCAGGATGCATACTGATTCATACAATTGAGAAACTGAGAAAATGAGTACTCCGGAGATACTGCTACCAACATACTGAAGAAAGGGCAGCATTTCATATGAAATCTACATGATGACAGCTCTACGTATCTAACCAGAACCCAAGCTACTGTGTAAGGAAACCACGTACTACACTGCAAGCAGAACATAGCAAATCACCCATTTCTGCTTGAACATCTTCAGAGACCATCACTGTCAAGAGAAAGGAAACGCTCTGGAATAGTTTGGTTTTACATTTGTGTTCCCCACTAAGCCTGGCTTCTGTTTTTCAGATGTGAATTCCATAGGAGGCCAGTTACACTCAGACCAGTAGAGAAAACTTTATAGAGTTATTTGCCATTTCCCTTTAGGGAAAAAGCCCTCAGAGAACAGCAAATGTATATGACACTCAAGAGTGGCATTCAAACTAATGCAAAGAAATCCTACAGGAGTTCCTAATATTATTTTATTTGTTATTTACCATTAGTGTAGCAGTTCCTACCTCGCCCTTCTTAATCATTATAATGAACTACTGTGGGTTGATGGACTACTGAGCCAACTTGCCCCAAGAATTACAGTTCGATTACTTGCATTACCAGTCCTGTTGGAAACCAAGTCTGCAGTTATCCAGACATTTATTTACTCTCCATCTATTTGTCAAGAGTTGCCTTCTTTGCAGGAGTTGCCACCACACAGAAGAAAATGTACCAAGAGGGTGACTAAGCAGCCTTGTTTCAAATTACTAAATAATGACCAGCATGAGTCAACCTGGCAAATTCTGAAGCCCACAGAAGAAAAACTGACGTAAGATAAGAAATATAAATAAATGCCATTAGGAATGCTTTATATAAATGTTCTTATTGCCAGCACCTGAAAAAAAGACTCTAAATGTTGCCTCCTAATCTCATTTCCCACATGCTAGCTACAATACCATCTAATTGTAAGACATTCTAATCTGTGGCACCAGAATATAGAGCCCCAAATGCTACTGATGTTTGCATTACACAGCTCCTTTACAGCAGGCACCTTCCACAGACTAATTCTTCAAGAAGCAGCCTTAGCAAGATCATAGTTTTACAGACTAGATGTACTGCAAACCTTAGAAACACATACTATGCTGACTAGAAACTAGGTAAATTATTATTCAGAGCATTGAAAAATGAAAATACAATTAAAATGGCACATTAAAAGTCCCACTTTCCAGACCTCTGGAAATCCAAGAAAAGCATCAACATCTTTACAGAGGTATAGGCAAAGTGGGTGATTATTGATGACTCTCAATGATGAGTAAGCACACAGACATAAATGCAGCCTCTCTGGAACCCTCCCGTTGAGTCAGCTCTTAATCGCTGCAGTCACGGCTCTCACCAAATCTGACTCATTCCCATCACTTGGGAAGTTGGCTTTTAAGGGAAACCTGCACCCAACACTGCCTGCTTAGCAGCAATCTGAGAACAAGCACATTCTCAAGGCAGGGCCCCAACTCTACCAGTTGCCTGGCTGTGTCTGGAAAGTTCTTAGTGAGAAAGGAAGATTCTTCATTTTCCTTATTTTTATTGGCCTCCCCCATGGCAGTGTAAATACCAGTAACTGAAGACAGGTGTAGCGTGCACTGTGCTTGAGAAGCAGCAAGTATTACAGAAGTCCCCTAGAATGATGGCTTGTTGGGATACCTGTTTAACTTCCCACTGCTCTCAAAGTGTTCTGGCTTTTACACCCACTCAGCCCTTTTTTGTTTTGTTTTGTTTTCCATTCAAGAAAGCACATTCAATGTTTTCTGGCTAATAATCTATCTCCTTCAATAGTAACCCAAACCATGATACGAAGCCTTATTCAATTGTTGCAGAAACCAATTCATTCTGGACTTCTGTCCTCCCTAACATCTATCAAAAAAGAACCAATGACTAGCTGAAGGTCAGGCTAAAAATAAAATGAAATCATGCACATATGCCATCTCACCTCATGCCTTGAAAGCAAGTTTGTTTATGGCCAAACTGACAGCAAGCCAAGAGCTGATTTTGTTACTCCTTTAAACAGACATTTTCTGTAGCAAATAAAAGCTTCTAGAGAGCAAAGAATATCCGAATAGATCCATATACTGTGGCTTACTGATCATCATCAGTTTAAAGTCAAAAAGATACATCTGGTTAATGCTATTCACACCACACCATACCTACTTTTAATCATTCTGTAGAAAAGGAGAGAGGTAATTGGTGAGTCATTCCACCCAGCACTCCGAGTGTGGTTAACATTTACCTTTGTTTAGCAATTCTGCGTCATCAGACATGTCTACACGAAAAAGCAAGTACTGTTGGGCCTCCAGGAGAAGACCTGGGAAGTCTTTTTCAATGGAAGCAAAATGTTCAATTTTGTTTTTCACAGATGCCAGCACCTGTCAAAACAACATAACAATTACTTCTTCCTCCCTTGCTCCCAGTGCAGCCCCAGACCAAATACTCTAAAATAGAGTTATGACAAAAGTTATAGTCAGAATTTCCAGTTCTTTGCACAAATGTAATTAAAACACCTATATGAGATGAGAGGCTCTCGACAGGTGGGAAGCAACAGGTAAAATTGAAAAGAGCTAATGTAAGGTTTAACAAGACACCAAAAATAACTGTTCTAACAGACATGACTAATGCTTGTGCTCAAGTACCTGATAAAGCGACCGCACGCTAGGCTGAAACACCATGTTGGTGTTGAGCAGAAAGGAGCGAAGAAGAGGCTGTGGATAACTTGCCATCTGAGTAATAATCCCAATAAGCAGCAAATTTACATGCAAGGAATTCTCCAGCATGTTCTCCAGCTTCGACAACACTACACTGATGAAAGGACCTGCAACAAAAGAAGGAGGAACCAATGCTTTTGTTTTCACAGAAGAAAAATCCTCAGATCCAGGAAAGAGGCATTTAAAAGGAATTTTGATCATCATAACCAACCAAATTAGACCTCCTACGTGCTAATTAAAGCCAACAGGGAGAAAAACCAAACTCTATCCGAACAGACAAAATAGATTTAACAGAAGTGTTAAAAGCTTTTGTCATTAGAAGCACTGTCGCTAGCTAGCCAATCAGTTTACATTAATGGCATATTTAACATGCATAACTATTCTGCTTTAAATGTGCCAGTAAGGATTTAGCCTAGTACATTATGGTCTACTGTTTTATTCACCTTGAAGTTAATCAGAATTATACCACTAGTTTCAATGCAGTCAGAAGCTGCACTTCTTACTCTTGTGCCTTATTTCTACATGAGGACTAGGCAAAGTAAATTATAGCTAGCTTTCTTGTCATATCAGAAAACCCGTGGTGTTCTGAAGAAAATATGAAAATGCTACTCTCTAAACAAAAGCCAAGATCTGTGATATCACAAGAAAAGGCATTTTCAGTACTGCAAACAGTCACACAAAGCAGGGAAGACATTAAAATAGATTTATAAGCAAAATTATTGGTAGATGTAGGCTTTATCATATAAATGTCAAAAGTAAATAATAGCTTTAGTTTGTGTATTCATGCTGCAGGATAACCACTGAAATACAGAAGCACTTACCATGAAAGTACATAAACCCTTAGTGCTCAAGCTTAAGAAACCTTTGCAAGGCTGAGTAAGACTTTAACCAAATACTACATATCATTAGATGATACAGCTGATGAGATGCTTGAAGCAGTCTGTACAAGTGACCTAGCCACAAGGAAAGTCTTAGAAGTTTCCCTTGTCTGACACCCAGCCCCACCACACTACTCTGATTGCGTAAAAGCTAGGGAAACCACGCAGAAGAATCCCCGAGCAATGCAGTTACAGCACTGCTCACTGAATACCTCACCCCAGACCCCTGCACAAGATGAATGCCATGGGCATTTCTAGGGTCAAGCAGGTGGCCACAATCCAACCCCATTCCAGCTCCCCTCAGCCAATAAATGGCTGCCTTTTGAGCTACTGGAGAATCCTTTAGCCCAGTTTAATATGTCTACAGCAGAGGCTAAAGCAATTCTGCACTAGCGCAATGGTAGGGATCAAATCAGAAGTGCCTGCACTGCCACTTTACCTCACAGAGCTTCAATAAAGGTTGAAGTCTATCAAGTTTTATAGCAACCGTGAGTACAAAGCAAGCACTCCCTCGAGACTCCTCTATCATGGCTAATGCTGGCACAGTTCCCCTCACAAGAGGAAAAGTAGGAGGGCCAGTGTTGACAAGGCTTTATGTGCCTGCTACCTTTCAACCACCATGGCAGCTACCAGAGTAAAAGTTGGTATCGCATTCTGCAGGAATCACCCTGTCAGAGTGCCCAATGGAGCAGCCCCAAATCCTTTTAGAATCATAGAATCATTCAGGTTGGAAAAGACGCTTGGGATCACCTCAGCCCTACTCTGCGAAGTTGTCCTCTAAACCATATCCCCCAGCATCTCATCTAAACCACCCTTAAACACATGCAGGGATGGGGACTCCACCACCTCCCTGGGCAGCGTATTCCACTGTCTTCTGTGACCACTCCTTCTGTGAAAAATTTTTTCCTAGTGTCCTCCCCTGTTGCAGTTTAAAACTATTCCCTCTTGTTCTGTCACTAATCACCTGTGAGAAGGAACCAGCACCAACCTCTCTACAATGTCCTTTCAGGTAGCTGTAGAGAGTGATGAGGTCTTCCCTCTGCTTCTCTTCCTCAAATTGAACAGTCCCAGCTCCTTCAATTACTCCTCATACGATCTGTTCTCCAGGCCCTTCACCAGCTTCACTGCCCTCCTCTGCACTTGCTCCAGCACCTCAATATCTCTTTCTGTCATAGCTGCTAAAAACCCATAGTGTAAGTGTAACTTGTCAAGATACAGTTTCTCCTGTTCCAACATAACCTACTGCTTCCCCTCTCATGTTCATGGAGACATTTTCACAGAGTTCTGGAGGACCACAGTGAAGTGGGAACTCTACTGTATCAAAAGGGATGGCAGGAGGAGTTGAGATATATCACTCTCTCCTTTAGGCCAGACTTCAAAGCTGAGTAGGTAAAGCTGAAGCTAGATACTTGTAACAACTGCTATACTCCATAGCAAGAGAGGTTACCAATGTATATTTAAAAATTTGTTAGTGTTACTTTTTCCCCCCAAGAAACCATTGGAATGAGAATCAGAGGAACTAAACAGAGTTCACAAGCCTTGTAAGAAACAGGGTAAACAGATGAAAAGTCAAAATATTATTCCCTTCCTGACTGTGCATCTCTATGTGGTCATGAAGTCAAGCACTGACTGGGGCGGGGGGGCAGGGGAGGAAGCAGAATATAAATTCCTATTCCTGAACACCATATTCTTTCTTGATCAAGGGAAAATAGGGATGATGGTGTTTATGCTTTTAAATCAGACACAGACACCAATAGGACGTTTTCTTCATAGATCCATAGGTCTAAAGAGAGCACACTGAGTGTGGGAACCTCTGTCTGGTTATTCAATTCTGCTGAGAGAAGCTCCATCCCATGACAGCATCCCAAAACAGTGAAAGCAACCAAAACTCCTTATCACACACCCCTACAAACATAATATACCGTTCCAAATTAAGTATATTGTTGTATTTGAAAGATACTCTAATCTCGGCATTTCTGAGGTATCATTATAAGCACCTCCTTACATGCAGTCACTAAGATCTCCATTCAAGCAAGGTAAACAGCCTACAACATGTTGTGGGTGGGAAACAAACAGCAAGGCTTTTCATATTCAGGGTTTTTTTTCTTTGTTTCGCTTGGTTGTGGGGTTTTTGTGGGGTTGGTATGGGGCTTGGTTTTGGTGTTAGTTTTTCAGAGAGGAAGAAGTGGAGGGAGGGACTCAGTGAAGAATGGAAGACAAGGACAACATTTCTGAGCCTCATTTGACAGCAGGTAACGTTAAACAGAAAGGTTTGAATGTGATTAGCATCTGGCATAAGGAAATTTCCACTACAGCAAAAGTAGAAAATTGATTGAAAAACAGGCTGAATTTTTCAATTAAGTAACAGTGCCAGGCATGTCGGTCAGCCACAGCTGACCAGAAAGGGCTGCATTTCAATGGACACAATGTTTTCTCCCTTGTTTCAAATGAACAGGAAGCCATCTTACAGAGGTGGGGTGTTTTGGGTTTTTTGGGGAGATGAGAAAACTTAGATACATTATTAGTTTTTTTATTATTTGCATTATTGTGGTATCTAGTTTACCTACTTAACAATCAGAAGCCCGCAGTGCGAGGAGCTGTACAAATACAGATCAAAAGCCTGTTTTAACTTATGGTAGCACTGTCATTCCTGAATGACTTGGAGAGTCTCCGGAGACCAAGCTTAAATTGCTGCCTGGCACCAGACAGAAAAGCATACCAACCGAGAGGGCAGACCTGACATTGGAGGAACAGGATGCCAGGACAGAGCATGGGGACAGGCACGTACAGACATGGCACCAGTGCTGCCACCTCGTGCTAAAACGTCAAATAGCAGAGAGGAAAAAAATGGCAACATGATACCACATCCATAGCGTCAGAGATGAAAGCCACCAGAAAAAGAAATTATTTACCTGGGCTCTGCATATTAAAACAGTTACTCTTATCCCCTTTCAACTGCAAAAGCTTTCTCTAGAATGAGGGAGCTCTCACATACAAACAACATAACCCCTGCTCAAGATTTTAAACAATTACCAAAAAAAATCAGCCAAAGAAACCCCTGAGCAGCCAACCATTTGCTGCCACCACACCAATTATTCTGCTCTACTTTAACGTTGGATATCACTCTCCTTGGACTGGTCTCAGCTATTTGTACTGTACCCTCTTTAGTGCCAGGACTGTTCCTTGCTCTATGCTTGTGCTGTGTGCCACACGGCGTGATCTCATTTGGCCACCTTTAAATCACCATGCCTTCCTGTATTTGTTACATATGTAATTAACAGAACATTCCACCTGTAAATGGAGCACTCTGGCTCCTTGCAGCATGCTTGGGAGAGATATCATCCTTCAGTCCAAAGGGAGATGACATGCTCTCTGCAGAAGGGGTGTCTGCTGAGAAATTCTCAAAGTCTTCCTCCTCTTCTGCAGGAGAGACAGGGTCAGGAGTATCCAACTTCTGCTCCTCCGAGCTTGCACTGTTTGGATCCAATTCCTTAATAATTTTGTCGTACTGTGCAATGAAATCCTCACCATCTGTGCTCAGCAGTCTTACACTTAAGTTATGATCTGCCTCCTGAGGAGAAAGCTTCAACTCTAAGTCTGGCTGTGGATCAATCTCAGTCATTTTCTGGTTTATTTGCTCTTTCATTACACCTTGAGTCGAGCTTGAATTTCTCTTACTGTGCTCATCCAAGTCCATTTCCAGCTGGCTCTTTGCAAGAGGCCCATTGACTACAGTCTGGCTTTGGACCTCATGTTCTCTGGCTGCATTGGAAATTTTCTCCTTAATGTTATCATCATCCTGAGTATCCTTCTGGGCACATAACCTGTAAACCATAACATCATCCTGAAAGTCAGATTCCTCTATGTAAGATCCTTTGATGAGCATGATGGCACTTTTTTTCATTTCTTGAATGTGTTTTGGTGGCTGTACAGGTGGCTGCATCTCTGTGCTTCCCAGATCATCATATGGTTGTGGCGAGCTCACATCAGAACCAGGAGAAATCCCTGTGTCATAGCTATCATCCCATTCTAGCTCCAACTGCATCTTCTCACCAAACGGAGTTACTTGAGAGGAACTACACATGCTAGGTGTCCTTTGCTGGAGGCGAAACATGGGATGTTCCACATCTGTACTGTTATCCTCAGCAAGTGTTTGGATAAAGGTGTCTGGATCAGGGTTTACTCCATCATACAAGGCAGACCAAACCTTACAATCTTTCAGGCACTGAAGGATCGCTTCTTGAGCTTCCCCCAGGTACTGCAAGTAGCTGATGTCCACAGCTCTCCCATATTCCACAATGCAAGTAGATTCAGAAGAGCGTCTACCAGAATCTGAAAGTAAAGAGATATTACTCATGGTATGAGTAATCACTAAGAGTTCTCTAGCAAGGCATCCACTAAGACATGGCAGGTAGAGACTTTAGCCCCAACCATCCAATAAGGCAGGAAGATCAAAGCATAAAGATTAAGAGATTTGCTCATAAATATGCATGACTTGTTCCTATTGCCAAGAGAGAGCTGTAATTCAAGGTTTCTGAGAGACCAGCCCACATTCAAACCTTAAAACAACAACAACCACTCTAAAGCAGCAAGAGTTTCTGTAATGCATCTGGATGTTATTTTCATGAATGCATATTCAAGTTGGATAGCTGCTAAAATAATATTTCAATAGACCTGGACACATGAAGGGGATTAAATAAGATTTCCAGTCCAAGCTTGCCCAGGTTATTGTTGTCCATCACATTTCCTCTTCCTCCCATCTACCCCAACTCCTCCCATGAGCTGCTACCAAATCAAACTTAGTTCATGATCTGGTCTTCCCCTGAGCACCAATTACCTTTAGTTTGTGCTGCTTTTGTCCACAGAATATAATCTTTTCCTTGGCTTTCAAGTGTCAAGGTGATCCCAGTGGAGCAGCAGACTGGTGTCAGGGCCAGCAGTTTTGCAGCAGATACAGAGTAACAGTCTCTTTCTTTCACAGCCCATCGCTGGCTCAACATCATGTGGTTGCATGGGATCAGATACCTGAGACAGCAGTGTCTAGCATTACTTCATCATCCTTTCATGTCAGAGAAAGCAACAACATACAAAATCCCCTTCCCACCTTCTTCCCCTCTCCACATTAAAAGAAAATGTAATCATAATCTTGACAGTGATCCATATTCTAAACCTCTCAAGAGCACAAAACCCTGACTCTTTAGACCATGAAGGTACAGTTTGATGAGGAACTGTCAAGACAAACGGAGACAGGAAATCAGCTGCATCACAACAGGGAAGTGAACAATCCTTTGCAGGTCAGAGCAAACTTGCTGTGAGAAGGGATGAAAGAAGTGTGGGATGGGCAGATGTCAAAGGCCAGCAGGGTGGTTTGGTCCCACTATGAATGAGTTCTGTCTTGGAATCCTTAACTCATTCATTTTCCTGGGAGATCCAAAGAGAGCCAGTTTACACTTGCCAGGCAAGCAGCCAGCAAAAAAAGAGGGAAGGGTCATCAAGGTGGTTTACTGCAGTAGATCAAGACCGAGCTCTGAGGCAGAGAAGGGAATAACCTATAGGGAGTACAAGGAATATATGAAGTACAGTCTCGTGTTGAACTTCTTTAGAGCACTTTTGTTCAACTTTTTAAGAGCCTTTATTAAAAGCCTTGATGTAAACTGAGTGTCAACTTTTTTAAAAGCCTCAGGTGTTAGCTGGGCTGATCTCTTACCATTTAAAATGCAAACAAATTCTAAAGGGTTCCCTAAATAAACAAAAAGAAGATTAAATACAGCACTGCTGCTGTTTAGAGTGGTGACACACATGAGTTCACAGAGGTCCTAACAGCATTCCTAGGCACAACAGCCAGAGCTATAGGGAATTTCCCCTTAATGCCTGTGGGTCGAGGGACAGACAGTATCTGAAATGCTCATGTGATCTGCAGTGCTAAAAGCCCAATTTAGTTACACCAATATTTCCAAATAAATAATCAATTCTCATCTAATACACACACCAAAATTATAAGTGAGTATTCTGAAGCAATGCATAGAATCATCAGTTAAAATCAAAAATAATCAAGGTATTTAGTACATTACACAACAATCTACCTACAACAGTTCAAGAACCTGAAGTATTCTCAGTGAGAGAGGAATCAAAGATGCGGAAAACAACAAGAAAGAAGGTGGAATCTGCAAACAAGTATATAGCTCTGTAACACAGTGTGTAATACACTTGAGAAAACATGAGGAGAGAAGAATTATACATTTAGAAGCAGGGAATAAGTAGTTTGGAGGTGATAAATATATTCTTAGCTTCTCTTCTCTCACTTTTATGAAAATAAATCACAAGAAAAATCTCATGCTCCTGAAGATCACAGGACGTAAATCATACTTCTTCAGGTCTGATAGACTTTTGTCAGGATCATAAATATTCTTATCTATGTAGTTGCTTGTATTTCTGCTCTCTTGGAGAACTCTCATCCAGCTCTGCATCCATAGACAGAGACTGTAAGTCCCAGAATTAGGATGAAGAGTGGAAAAAGCAGTTTGAGCTTTACCTTAAAACTAGCTGTAACATCACATCTTCACAATGCAAGCCAATGAGTGTTCTGAACAATGCCAAGGAGACCACACAGAGCTGGAAAATGATAAACGTTGTCAGTTTTTGACCTGGAAATCGTACCTTTTCAGTCTTCCCTGCATACTACATCACAAAATGGCTCCGCCAGAACATCATGTTTTATAAGACACTGTTAGTACGCTATTTCATTTTGTCAGCATTCCATGGGTTTGGGGTTTTTTTAAAGTTGTCTAGAGCTGTTCACATAACACGTTACACTTTAACAAAATACAATTCAGAATCTTCATTCAAATAAGCTATGAAAACAAAGCAGTAATTTATCAATCTTTAATATTATCCAAATTTATTAATTTAATTTAACTCAGCATGAATTGAACTCCGTAATTTTCAAGGTAGCGTGTTAGATTTTACCTCTGACAGAGTTTGAACCAATTAAAGGTCTTTTCTGAAAGAGAAGTTATAAACAACCTCAAGTTTCTTAACCTATACTTAAGCCTTAAGTATAAGGAATGATTGGTGTTCTGCATATTAAGAAGCTGAATGCTTCTGTAAATAATAGCTTAATGTACTGACACAGACCAGGACTAAACAAGTAATTTTTGTCAGAATCTACTCCATATGGATGGTTTACAACCCCTCCATTACAGGTCACTTGAACAGCTGGAAACTATGTCAAGGTATGAAGATCCTTTCTGTGAGACCAGGAGAAAGGAAATAATAATAGGATTCCTCACTGGAATTGCATGTTTGCCTTTTTGCCAAAGGTCTGATCAAATACACCTGTAACTAGATATTTCAGTAGTCACGTTCAGCAGAGACAAAAACCATACCCATTCTGTGACAGGCACTCCACTTCTACAGTGGCTTTAGGACAGACTAGAAATGTGGACTTCTAAATAATTTTTTGGTCACACAACACTTTCAGAGCTATCATACAGTACATTTCTACCTGCCAGACTCCTGCTAGACTGCAGTTGTGCCAAAAATGGTAGAAGAATGAGCTGTAAGCTTTCATTGGTTTTCAAAGACAATAGTGCACTATCTCCCTGCCTCTTAATGCGTATTTCCTTGGGCACATTCTCCTGTGCTGCTCTCTCATCAAAACAGTAACTCACAGCTGGCTTAGACTCCAGGATCAGGTTGACTCTTGTAAGAATTATTCAGTATAAATTGACCCTTTCCCAGAGTTTCAAGCTGGTGTTTAAATCTTGCCTCTCCCTATAGTAATTATGTAAATTGAAATAATTAATATATGAAATTAATTGCACTTTTCATTAGCTAACAAAAGAGGCAGATTAGGACAAAAAGGAAAGAGCTACAGACATTTCTCTACCTCATTTTTTCAGTCACTGAACATCCTTAGTAATTCATTCGGGATTAAATCCAGCAGCCTGCCTGGACATGGCTTCTCTTCCACACTGTGGGACTTCCTCCTCTTCTCTGCAGTCACTCCCTTCCACTGCTAAAATGCTCTGTTCTGGCTCTGCAGCAGCACATTGCTATGTTCCTATCTCCAGCCCATGCCTTCTCAAGAATGTTGATTTAAAGGCTCTTTATTTCCCTATTTCCAGTTCTCCCTTTCAGATGAGTGACTCAGCTCCCCTACAATATATTTAGTTGTCCATGGTGACCAAGACCAGATTAATGCATAGATTTATTGAAAAATATATATACACAGGTATTTTCCCTTACTTGGTAGGTATCATTGTGAAACAGTTAAATAGAAAAGTTCAAGTGAGCCTCTGAAAAGTAAAAGTTTCTTTGACTGCCTTCCCTAGTTTGGTCACTGAACTAACATCAATAGAAGAACAAAAGAAAGGGAATAAGCAGAGAGAAGAGAAATGGAAAATGCTCATGAACTGGCCTGCAGTGAGGCAAAGCAGAGCTCAAACTTGTTACCCTGCCACCACTGGCCAGTGCTTGTCCTAGGAGCCAACTATTAGTCCAAAAACTCATGCCTACAGAAATATATGAAGAAAGTAAAAGGGCAAGAGAGGAAGGAATAACCAGAACTGGAGTTCTTAATAGGAGCATGGCGGCAGAGTTAAAGTGCTTCATCACAAGCTTTTGGAATGTCAGATTCTTGCATGAAAGGTGTGCATGGGGGACATGGGGAAAAAACAGGAAATCTTGTTTCCTCTGCTAAATTTACTGAGAGCCAAGTCTAACTTTTCTTCATATCGTGAAAGTTCAAGAAAATTGCTACTGCCTTAATTTTTCCTATATTTTAGAAAGTTCAGTTTATAGGGAAACATTACTCATTTGTTTTTGCAAACATATTGCAAATCAGGAATCATCTGGATAAATAGAACTAGTCTGTTTCTGTATTTTGTAAAAAGAAAGTTTTAAAATACACTCAGGAGACAAAGAGGATACTATTTGTACAAGTCCCTTTGGCCATCCATCTGTACATAAGTTTAGTCCTGTGAATTATTAGTAAGTATTTTCATCAATAATAATGTACACAGCTTTTGTGCTATAGAAACACACAGAAGGCTGCAGTTCTGGCTTTTGCACTTGGCCAAGCTATACTGCAGAAAACTCATTTAGCATCACAGAACCATTTTGGCTGAGATCCTGAGCTGCTCAGGGCTGCATAATTCTTTACATTCCCATCTCGTTTGCCTATGGAACAGTAATTAATGATTAACAGAGAAAATGGAATTTGCATTTTTGTTGACAGAAGCTGTTTCAGTTTTCATAGTTAAACCATCTTAGAGATGCCATAACAGCAGCATATATCTGTATTTGCATGCACAGTTCAAAATTTCAGATGAAGCTACTGTCCGTAATACATAAATCTAATGCACATGGTGGTGTTCTGGCTTCTCTTGTATCTGCACTAAAACATTACTCTATTTCATCCACGAAGCTATGCATCACACAAGATTCAGCCAAGACTGCCAGCCAAGCAAGGCTCAGAAGGGTTGTCCAGTGAAACAAGTAGTCATTTTCTTTGCCAGAAGATCTAACTGTTAGTGAAGGTAACTACTACCTCTGTCAACTAGCTCTCCAGCCACTGTGGTGCATTGTGCCTAGGCTGAGAAGGGGCTCACTGCAAATTTGAGATAAACCTTACTACACAAGGGAGTGAAGGCAAGGAAAAGGAAGCAGCAATCTGATCACTTGAGCAAAAAGTGCCTTTTTTAAATCAAAGAACAAAGCAGGCAACCCAGTTAAATAAACATACTCAGTAATATAGACTTAATACTTGAGAAATCTACTGGTAATACTGCATTTCACAACTTGGATCTATTTGGAGACATTCTTACAGGGCTCCCAGAAGGACTATTTGAAAATGTTGGTTGCTTGGCAAAACTTCAAAGATCAAAAATGCTCCTCACCACAAGTATATTTATAAGTCCCAGGGTGAGTTATCTATGGCAGCACTAATTGAGCAGTATCCAGAATAAAAATGCTTCCAATTTTACCTTTAATCTTCTAACAGAATCCAGTCTTCCAGAAGCCCTCATCTCCCTCTATCCCATTTCCTGTATGTGTGAAAGCACCTCACACATTTACCAAGTTAGTATACCGGTAGCTAAATGTCATCACACACAAAAAAATTGAGGGGGTGGAGAAATCACACATTTGGGTGGGGGGAGAGAATCCTAATTAAACAGATAGCCATTGAATATATGGAATCTCCCATTTAAATATTTATCCTACATCCATGCTAACCACCTGAACTTCCTTCCTGATTGTCTTACCCGGAACGGTGTGTTGATTCTGCTAGTAAGGGTATCTAGGATATGCACATTCTCATGTCGGTGCAACAAAATAAAACGGAGGAAAATCTTGAGGAGGGCTGGCTCTGAAACACTACGCAAAAAGAGATCCAGGTATGCAGTAGTAGTCATCACTTCTTCCACAGTCACCTACAAGCAAAAATAATGTAAATGCAAACATACTACACACACAAAAAAAAATATACGTTCATCCTCTGCAACTGTAGAGCTGGCAAACACTCTAAGCTCTCCATACAGAACACTGCCACAAAAATATTGAGGTCTTTGTTTTTAAATTTGCAAAGAACATGCTTCTGAATGACTCACAAGCATTTTGAACCCATTTCTTATCTGTCTTGCTTCCCCAGGAAAAGAAACCCTCCCCCAAACTGACACCCCAAATCTCACACACGCTGAAATACAAAGGACCAAATCATGCTAGAAGCTCCCCACCACTTTTCTGCCCATGTCAGTTCTTTTGCATCACACTTCTGTCATCCTTCGGAAGCATTTTCTGATGTTGTGAATACCTGCATCTACCACTTTATTAAAATTAAATGTCAAAGCACAGTACAAACTCATGGTTTCAGAGATTTAAAGAAAAAATCCCCACAGCTATTCAGAATTTTGCCACAATTTTCCTTCTTTTTACTTTCCCACAGCATAATTGCTCATTTTACTCAATTTTTAAAAGGAGTACGTATATACATACACACACAACCAAACTCCAAAATCTTCACTACTGACTATTTGTATATCAAAATACAATTCAAATATCCAAGCAACATTTGCATACCATAACCCACACTGCTCTGCTTATTGCAATCCTTTGGAGCTTATCTATTCACTATACACTGGCAAAGCATAGAAAATTCCAAAGGCCACTTCTGCACCATGTACTGCTTTGCAAAGTCAGCTTTTTAAAAATAGTTACCCAGGAACCTAATAAGCTTAAGTGCACAAAGTTAAACCCTTAAATACAAGAATCTGCCTGTATGAAAGGAAGTATTAAACATCTTTTGTTTACCAAACTTAGCTGGACAAATGAAAAGACTGATTTTATTAAAAAAGAAAGAACCAAAGCCGTCACTTAAGACTAAGAGGATTTAGAAAATACTCAGAAGGGCAACATTTACGTAACATACTGTAAATATTAAAATCCCTGTTCCATTATGCGGTATGTTGGCCGTGTACACAGTAACGTCATGCTGCAAACATTCTCTTTAAAGCATTTAAGATCACAAGATGCTTCTGGCTGGTTATACAGAACATAGGCATGCTGTATGTGGCCTGCAGACCTTATGGAGAGGGAGCACCAATGAGGAGAGCAGAGAGAAGCTCTAAGTTAAGGCCACTGATTCACTCTCATCCTGAGCCTTTATTCTAATACTCAGCTACACCATCCTTAATACAGTGGGCTGCGAGCTCATTTTGGCATTTGAAACTAAGCACCAGTGAAGTAGCAACAGTGAAATAAATTCACCTTCTTGGTTTATTGTAATGTTAGTCAAAATCAAAGCATTACAATGTAACAATGAAAGGAAAGGAATGAGGCAGGCTTTCTCACAATCTGTAAACTTCGTAAGGCTAAATAAAGAACAGCTAGACATACTTTCTTGATCTGTAGTTCTATGTTCAGTGCTATCAAAACCACAAATGGGAATATAGTTCTTTCACAAAATATCTGTTAACATACACACCAACTCAGAATACTGCTAATGAATTAATTCCTCCTCCTTCCCCCACAAGCATCAACTGGGGAAAAAAAAAAAAAAAAAAGTAGGTTAAGCACCCCAAAGTTACAAATTGCCAGAATTAACACTGTGGCAATAGCCCTAACTCAAATTCTTTATTACTGTAAATATGATAAAACAAACATGCTTATGCACATATGCTTTTCCATAGGACTACTGCCACACTTCAACCACCAAAACACCTGCTCAGAAAATGAGCCAGGGTTGTGAAACAAAGGAAATGGTTTCTGGTTGGAGCAGAGATTCCTCCTTTGTTTTGCAACAGCCAAAAGATGTGGGGACTTGTGGAATATAAAATAATGGCTTTCTGATGAAAGCTCTTGACTGTTGCCCTAAGAACTGTCTTTTTTGGTTTGTCTTTTTATAGCAGCAAGCTGTAAAAACCAAAGCCCAAGAAATCCATCATGTGACATCATTATGATAGCATACAGTTCATCGAAGAGTTTAAACCTTCTGCCAAGGAAAGGTCAGGCAGAAGTAATACATCGTTATGTCTCTGTGTCACTTCTCCCTCATCCTTTATGGGGAAAAAGAAGCACGTTCTTGGCCTGCAGGTTTCATAGATGCTTGCTGACAGCAGAGGAATGGGCCTATGTATATGTATAAAATACCAAAGTTGTAAATGAATGAAAGAAATAAAAGCCAGCAGATTCACAAGGGCAGTGACCTTTTTCTGAAACTGATGCTCTTCGGACAACTCATCCTACATTCATATCAGTGAGAGAAACTCATATGCTTTTCAGAGTGCGTATCATGAATGAAACAAAGAGCAGAAGAAAGGCAGCTAGAGGCTACTTTAGAAAAGAAATGTTCAATTCTGAGAGCACGTTCAGTGCTCCTAATAATTTGGGGACTAGACAAAAAAAGAAATCATGTTTACCATAGCCAACACTTCACTGGTACCACTGAACAGAGTTAGAACAACTAACAAATGATTAATGAAGTCCAAATAGTTCACAAATGAGTTACTTATAACCCTGTTAAATCTTAATTATTTGAATTGAGGTTTTTGTGTAGCATACCACATTACACTTAATTTTTAGTTCTTCTTGGGAAAGAAGTTGCTGAAACTCCTTAACCATTTTCTGAGAGGGAAGAAGACTAAGTTTTGTCAAAATTTAAATAGCTTTGTAAGAATTGTTTTTCATTTTTCAGTGAAAACACACTGCCTTATTCACAACACTCCTTCAAACTTTCACAGTAAATGAAGCAAGGATCTATTTTGCAGCTCGCTGTGCAACACTCAAAGCAGGCAAGTTAACACTGGACAAGCAATTTTAATGCTATTATGCTCTACAAGTTCCAGTGTTCTCTCAGCGCACATTTGCGTGCAACTTGTCCGCACAAACCAGCAAAGAGACCATCATCCTTCTACTTCCTTGCAGGAGCAAATCAAACTAAGATATTGCTTTTCAGCATTTGAAGTGGAAACCACCTATGCAGTTTAGGGAAAACATCAATTAACCTGGCAAGCAGATGTCTGTGCTTTTTACACTGTATCTTATTTTGCTACCTTGCATTCTGGGTTAGTAGTTCTTTTTACCGTAGTGATGGTAAGTATAACTTCTCCAGGCACCTCAAATCTTCAGAAATACTCAAAAAAGGCTAATTTTAGCTTCATGAGGCTAATCTTCCTTTTACTTGATAGGATACATTAGCCTACTCTGAAGGAGCCTCTAGAGAAGTCACTTTTTTTTTTTTTTTTTTTTTTTTTTTTTTTTTTTTTTTGCAATTAACTAGAGAAGGACGTTGGAGAAATCGGTTACTCTGGTTACCCAGTCTTGGCAAAAACCCTTTTAACTCTGTACACCTTTTCTACAGATTACATGACACATAATACATTGAGTGTTGCAAGTGAAACTCGTTCCATTTGTGCAGTTATTATTGAAGATCTCTGTTTTCTAAGACATCAAAGTCACGCTATTAAGTTTCATTCAGACTACCTGCTGGTTGTCTCTTCTTAAACTAATGTCTCATGAGACAGATTTGAGGAGTAGGGAAATGCTAATAAACTCAGATTTGTACTTATGTAAACAACCAAAGAACACATATTCCCAGAGAACAAAACATTTACTATCCATGTCAAGCATGACCACTACAGTCAAATCCTGAGGCAGCTTACAAAAACTTCCTATCATTGTAAACATTACAGTATAATTTGTCCAAGTAAGCTTTTAGTTAGCTCTTGGAATTGAACATCTTTGAAAGGATGATAATAAGTGAATCAAAACTTACACACATCCACAAATCTGATATTTAATTTGAAAATTGTTCATCTCTGATAATTCAAGTATCAAGAAAAATACCATAACAAAGGGAGATGAATAAAATTAAGACCTAGTTGTTTCCTAGAAAAGCCCTTTGTTAAGTAAACTTCAAGCTATGCTTTTGATGAAGGTATTTCAGCAATATTAAAATCCACCACTGCCACAACAGCATAAATTAAAACCCACCAGCAGCAACCCTCGCGTTAGATCCTTTCTACTAATAGTAAAGACCAGGGATATCTCTGTTCCTAGGATAAAATTGTAGGATTGAAAACTAAAACCTAGAAAAATCCATATCCGTTGTATTAATCAGAGCAGAAGTCTACATTTTTTAAAAAATTATCCACAGTTGGAACAATTTATAGTTGCTGGGATTTTTATTCTTCAATACATGTATAGATTTGAAGTGTCTAAAGACACCATTTAAAATACTCATCCACATGTTTTTCATCAATCATTTGTTACAGATATTTTTTATGATGTAATCCGCTGCAAAAGGGACTACCCGAGAGCCTTTGTAGCCAGACAGGTATTTGATTAGAGATTATTGAAAAGAGAAAGCCACTTTTAGCCTTTTAATACCCTTCTCTAATTATATAATAATTTTTAGCAAATCTTTTCTTGCCTTCTCTGATGACTGATTAGATGGTGAGACAGAACACTGTAAAGAGATCCAGCTTTTACAAGTCACTGTGCCAAGTAATAGCAAAGAGCCAAAAATTACTGTCATTGTGACTTCAGTTAAATATATTACACTCACTGTGTTAGACCAATTGCACTGATTCTTTATTACTGTCTATTTTCCCTTGGGATCCTCACAATATATTTTCTAATGTACAGCTTCATGCCCTCTTACAGGAATATGGCTATCATGATTCCTCCTTTCCTTCACATTTCCCTTCCTACAAAGATTTCATATTGCCCATGAAGAGACCATGAATGTTCTTACTAGAACTTATCCTCTAGATTCACAAGCAGTTTAAACCTGAATAACCCTACCTTACTGATAAAAAAGGTCCAACCATCCCCACTCTTTTCTCCTTCCTATTCATTTTCCACTTCTTGCCCCCTGCTTATACTAGCAGAAGGATTCATGCTTCACTTCATTGCACAGTGAATTGGCTCAGGG